AGTATACTGTGTATACTAAGTATACTGTGTATACTAAGTATACTGTGTACACTAAGCACAGTGCTTAGCACAGAGTAGGTCCTTAATACATGTTTATTGAACGATGATCTTTTGAATTACAATCAGGATCGTGCAAGATCTGGAAGTTTTTACTAATAACCCAAGGAGATCTTGCAGTACTGTACAATTTTCCAAAGGTCAAAAAAGATAGTTTTACAACCAACAATAATTTACCCTGCAAAGCTGAGTATAATACTACAAGGGGAAAAAAGGTTGAAGAGACCAGAGCTGAACTAGGAACTGAACTACAAATGCAAGAGTCCAGCTGAAGTTAGAAAGCTAAGTTTATTGGAGCAGATGGAAGCAGCTGTATGATGATGATGATGCAGTACTACCTTTTTAATATATGAAGAAAAACAAGTGTTCTTGAACATCTTCAAAGGGTACTGAGGGGGTAAATGAGAAAAAGAGAGGTCCTGGAGGTAGATTAGTTATGAGTATTTGAAGAAGGGAAAGGCAGGGATGGCAAAAAGGAATACAGCAGCGTGAAAAGGAGGAAAAGGAGGTAGAATGTGCTATTTTCCCTTCATTGGGGTTTGTCATAATCAATATAGAGACAAGAGTAAGGGATGTGGCCATCCAGTGAACCTCACTCTGATCTGAAAGTGGACAAAGAAGGGTTTAACACACACACACACACACACACACATTTTAATGTAGAAAAACCTCAAACTCAACAGGGAAATGAGTACAATATGGTGAGAGTGGTTAAGAGGGAGGATAATACTAGAGATGGAAGAGTCAGGAGCAAAAACATTTACACTCTCCCATTACTCATCAAGATGAGGTCAAATTTCATTTTCTACCTCTTATTCATCCAGACACTCCCTTGGTTACCCTCCCACAATAAAAACTTTCCCTGATATCTAACAGTCAGAGGAGTCAGGGAGCTATGGCTATCGAGACTCACATTTTAGTTTCAGAATCACTTCTAAAAGAGGCAACTAATAATGGAGAAAAAAAAACCAAACCCATAACACTGTAGAGCTGAAGGGAACCTTGTAATGGGTAGGGAACTTCTAGATTTGTTCTGTGAAGTTTGGATTCAGTCAAAGGGCCTGGAGGCCACAAGTTCCCCACCCCTGTTTCTAATCCAACCACTCCCTTATCTGTATACATATATAGATGTCTATAGAAGGATACATGTTGTATACATAAATGTATACACACATACATATACATGTGTGTGTGTACACACATATATGAGATTATAGTGGACAGGCACTCTACATTATATTCCCAACAATGGATACTCAACAAACACTAAAATCAAACATACTACTTCTCTTCAGGTCTCCTCAAACTTCAAAACTGATTTTTTTTGGGGGGGGGGCTAGGCAATGGGGTTAAGTGACTTGCCCAGGGTCACACAGCTAATAAGTGTCAAGTGTCTAAGGCCAGGTTTGAACTTGGATCCTCCTGACTCCAGGGCCTGTGCTCTATTCATTGTGCCACCTAGCTGCCCCTGAAATATCTTAAAGAACGAGGCAGGTGATACATGCAGCCTGATTATTTCCATATCACCACATCAACTCCAAACTTTTCCTTTCCTTCTTTCTCAAAATCCTACCTCACCACCTGAAAATAAAATAAAAATAAACGATTATACCACTTAAATTACACCACTTGGGAACTTAGAGATCTTCCTAAAGAGAAACTTCTTAAGAACCAAGTGACCTCAAGCATATGGTGCATTTAAAAGATAATAAAAATCTACCACCTGAACTTAAAGCACAATTAATCAGGGAAAGAGGTGGTAGTTTAAAGCCAGATGACATGGAGCATGAGGAGAAGCAAAAGCACTCTGGAGAGCACAGCAGTGACTGGAAGGGCAAGACAAGGCTGGATGTTGAACTCAGGGAAAGGACACATCAAACAGAGCTGAGAAATGGGCTCATACATACCTGGCAGAGGGATTTGTGCCACTAGATTCAAGACTTCTGGTTCCAGATCCTAGGCTGTGCTACCGAACAAGAAAAAGACAACCTCCAAATCGAAAGAAAACGCCCAGAGGCTCAGAAACACTTCCTTTCCTCTCCCAGAAAACTCGGGTCAGCTGGCCTACACTAGAGAACGGAAAGGGGCGGGGGCATGGGAGCAGACTCCACCCCCCCACCCACGCCGCTCTGCTGAGAAGGGGTGGCAGAGGTGGGGCAACAGAGGACCTAGTAAATTAATACTTCTCGATGGAACATGAAAAACATACATCCTAGAGTTTTAATTCTTCAGACAAATGCTCTCCTTTGCTGGGGCTGAGAGGTTTGTAGGTCATAGATCAGATTTAGAGCTGGAAGAGACCTCAGGGCCTGTCAAATCCAAAGCCCTTTACAGAAGAGGAAACTGAGCACCAAATAAAGTGACTTGCCCAGGGTTACAAAAGTAGCAAGCGTCAGAGGTGGGATTAAAATTTAGTCCATGGGAGAGAGTTCTAGGCATAGGGGAACCAGTGAAAATCCCCGGAGTTGGGAGATGAAGGGTCTTATGTGAGGAATAATGATAGCAAGGTCAGTGTCGCTGGTTGCAAAGTCCCTGGGAGCATAAGGATAGAAGGAGTAAGAAGACTGGAAAGGTAGAAGGGGCCTGGTTATGGAGGGCTTTAGAAGCCAGAGGATTTTATGTTTGATCTTGGAGGCAACAGACAGCCACTGGAGTTATTTAAATAAGGGGTTGGCATGTTCAGACTTGTGATTTAGAACGATTACTTTGGCAGCTGAATGGAGGACTAACTGGTGTGGAGAGAAATTTGATGCAGGGATACCAACCAGCAGGCTACTGCAATAGTCCAGGTGTTAGGTGATGAAGCCTGTGCTAGAGTGGCAGTGTCAGAGGAAAGAAGAGAGCATTTATGAGAGATGTTGTGAACAAAAAACACAGGGCGTAACAACTGATTGGATATGAGAGTGAGGAGTTGAAGATGACACCTAGGTTGTGAGACTGGGTGACTGGAAGGTAGTACTGAGAAGTTAGGAAGAGAGAGGTACCCTCCACAGTAATAGGGAAGTTCGGAAGAGGGGTGGTTTTAGGGGAAAGATAATAAGCCCAGTTTTGGATAGGTTGAGTTTATGATGTCTACAGGACATCCAGTTCAAGATGTCCAGTGGACAGTTGGAAATGTGAGAGTGGAGGTCAGGACAGAGGTTAGGGCTGGACAAAACTGAGAATCATCTGCATGGTGATGACAAGCTGAAATCATGGGAGTTGATGAGATAACCTAAGAACTAGGTGGGCAGGGCTAACTTTAACTACTTGTCCGACAGAGAAGTGGGAGATGACTATTTTTGGAGTGAATTTTTAGATATATACCTACCCCTTGGGAAATCTTAGAAGGCTCCTCTGCCCTTAAGGAACAAAGCCCAGTCTTCAACCAAACAAAAAGGGGCCCTCTTTCGCAAAACAAATCAACAACAGAAAGCCTCACTCAAACCGACAGACTTTACCAAAATGGACCTTAAGCAAAAACGCCACCAATTAAAACAACAAAATTCTTGAGAGTTTTGCTCCTTCCCAATTAGAGGGTAAGCTCCTTGAGGGTAAGGACTATCTTTTTGCTTGTATTTGTATTCCCGAGTTTAGCACAGTACCTGGCACATTAACAGCGTTTAATAAATCCTTGCTGACTGTTGCTTTCAGAAGAGGAAGAATAGCCCAAAGGACAGAGTCATGAAAACCTGGGTTAAAACCCCTCCTGGGACACTGGCTCTATCTATTACCATGGAAACTTCTCTTCCTAACTCTCTGGGCCTCAGTTTCCTAATCTCTAAAATGGGGATAGTACCTGTAGTGCTTACCTCACAGTCTCGTTATGGGGCTCTACTGAGATAACATATATGGAGGTGCTCTGTACACTTTAAAGCACTGTAGAAACGTCAGTTATTATCCTATAGATTGTCAGCTCCAGGAGAGGGGCGGGCCCAGCCTCGATAAGGTAACACTGAAGGTAACACATGAGGCCCCATAGCTTCAGGGTTGGTTGCTTCCTAGTCCTCCGGACAGTGTTTGGGTGTTTAGGACAGGAGGCTCTTAAAAGTAAATTTCTAGTAGGAAAGTTTGTTTCTAGAAACGGTTCTCTCTCACGCAAAAGGAAGAGACCACAGCCCCAGAAGCCAACCTCCCCTCACCCCTCCTACCCCGCCTCCACTGCCGCCTCCCTTTCCAGCACCAGCGGAAGAAGCTCCGCGACCCAGTCAAGGACCGGTAACGTCCGTCCCAGGGGTGTCTCCTGGGGCTTGTAGTTCGTAACTCATCCGCGGCGCCTTGCACCAAGGACACCGAAGGCACGGGTGGACTACATTTCCCAGATGCCTCGGGGCCCCAGCGGGTGGGGCCCTGGCGGGGTTGGAGGCGGGGCTCCAGCGGAGGTGGCGGCTCATTTGTAAATGGAGAGGGAGGCGCTGGAGGTGGCGGCGGCTGTGGCGCGGGTTGGAAGGTGGACTGAGGGCCGAGAGTACCCGAAAGCGGTAACTGCGGGCCGCGGGTGGCGATCCGGATCGGCTTCCGGATGCTTGAGGCTGGGGAAAAAACAGTTGTGTCCTCGGGGGCCTGAGCACGGCGGCGTTTTGGTGCCTCGGGGCGGCTTCGGAGCCCTCCCCACAACCCCCCCCCGCTCTGCGGGAGGGCCGGGGGGTGAGGGTGAGGGTCGGGGTGGGAGGATCGGGGCCTGAGGAGGCCGGGGGCGTCCTCCCCACTGAGCCCCCGCCTTGTGCAGCTTGCTCGGGATGCTTTTCGCGGTAGTGAGATGGGGGTCCGGCTTCTGGGGGGCCTTGGAGAGTTTCTGCTCTAAGTCCCCTTCAGGGACCCTTCCTCTTTTAAAGTCGCTCTTGGTCACTTTCTGTGCTTTGATGTTGTTGGTCGTGGAATCGTCGTGATCGGTTTCAGGGCTTTTAAATTCTTGGCTTAGGGAAGAAAAGAAAAAGATTAATCTTTTTTCAAACCAGCAACCTAATTTTTCTGCACCATTTAGTAGACTTTGAAGATGTTGTGATGTTGGCAGCAGTTCGTGAGATTGGTGAGATGACACTCAAATGACTATGGCTTTTTTTTTTTTTTAAGGTTGCTTAAAGGTTCTTTTCGTCAGATGCGCTAGGGTTGTCATGGCACCCTTTTTGGGGGTGGGGGTGGGGGTGGTGTGGTAGTGCTCCTTTGTCTTCTGTAAATTTGTTTCCATTTCCTTTTAATATCAGTATGATACATCCTGAATCATCACAATGCTAAACTGACCATTTCTCCAGGTAAAATAGATATCTTGCTCCATGCTCCCCCACCCCCAGCAAATAATCTGTACAAGTGAAACAAATTACTTCAACATAATTGCATGAAGTAATTAACTTTGTAGGGTTAAAGTCATGAAACAGTGAACTGAAAATGCATTTCTAGAGCCAAACAGTGGGAAAATCAAATCAAGCAATGTTTATTGAGCTTCTTCTGTGTGCTTGGCACTGGGAGTACAAAGACATAAATAAAAGCCCCTGGCCTTAAAAAGCTTAAATTTTGTTAAGGGGGAGATTAAATATATCAGGATATAAAAAACAAATACAAGGTAATTTGCCCTGGGGGAGGAATAAGGAAGGATCAGGAAAGGCTTCTGGAAGGAAGAGGTGACAAAGATGGAAATAGCTTTGTCCTCTGGAACTTGTGTCAATCTAGTAAGGAGTTCTGCTTTTGAATGTCACAAAACAATTTTGTAAGTTTCTCATCCTAACCTTTTGCTTTTAATACTTGTTTTCATGTGGCCATTTCAAGGCCATTTTAAAGTTTATTTTTAATGAAAAATCGGTATCATTGCTCTGATTGGGTACTTTTAATTAATTACATATTAAAGGCTAATTTGTGTGTGTGTGAGTGATGCTGAAAGGATGCAGGTTTTAACATAATGAATGTTGTTGGTACTTAGTTCTACAATACTTCCCTATGAGTTTTTAAAGCTATTCTATTTACTTTAAATGTCATGAATGTTTTTGTGACATGTACATATTTTAAAGTTCATCTTAACAGGGGCATATCTCAAGGAATGCTAGACATAATTGATATTAATTTATTATTCTTGGTACCAAATGTATGCTTCTCTTTTTTTAAACTACCTTAATATAAATTGGCCCCTGACTATACATTGCTTATTTGGGAATGATTCTCACTTCAGTAAAAAGTTGTTTCTTATCTTTAAAACATCAGTTATGTTTTTGATTTAAGCATTTAAGTATTTTTTTTTCAGTGCTCAACATGTCCAGTGTTTCCAATTCTTTTCTCAAAGTATTTGTGATGTATAGGTATAAGGCTTGTAGTCTACAAGTCTTTCACCTATTTCTTACCCCTGAACTTTATTTTTCAGCATTTTCTTTGCTGCCCTTTACTGTACTCACCTTTGTATCAGTCACCCAGGATCAAAGAATATGTTGAATTACCTTGGAAGTTCTGGATGAATTCTTCATAAAATGTCTCTAGCCCTTTATTCTGTATAGTAAGAGTTGGTATATAAGCTAGTTATTTTTATTGTTGACTTTTTGAAATAAAATGACCTAGTGTCCTATGAAATGACATTTCTTACAGCTTTTGGGTACACAATAAAACCAACCCTGTAAACTCCTTTATTTGTCTCTACAATCCTGTGAGCCACCCTCTGTTTAGCTGCAACTTTTGTCTTCTGGTTTCATTTACAGGGAGAATGTCAATATTGATGTAATTCAGTTCCTCTAGTAGAATGTCCAGTCTTTGGTCATCAGACAAGGATAACTAGCTCTCATATTTAGAATACCAGCAACTAAGTTAATTTTCACAGATGGGCTAAGCATTGTTTGATTTGTAGCGCCAGCTGCTCCTGTTTTCAGGGAATTCTTCCATAGTCACTGGAAAAATCAGAAGAGAGCTGTACAGAACTGAGGGTCATTTTGTATTTTTCTTTATGTTATGGGCTGCCATGGACAAAGAATTTTTCACCAAAGTCGATGCGTCTCTTCATACTTAGCTAAACTGAACCTCATTGCTAGAACCATGTTTGAAGCCTTTCTATCATGGTAGAACCTGCAGAGTTTGTACTCTGCTGACAGTTGGGTTGTCTCCATGTTGTGTATATTCAGAATAGGACTTTGTGGAGGGGGGTGTGTGTACATACATACATATGTATATATATCTTCATCTATATGCCTTTATATACTATGGATATATGTATATATGAATACATATATACACCACACATTTTTATGCCATATATCCATATACTATATCCAAATCGTATCTGTATAATATATATACACAGATGTATATAATATACATATATCCATGGCTACTGTTGTTTTATAATATTGTCTTTCATAATGGATTGCAGTTCCAGTTCCAAATGGATTGATGTGTGTGTGTGTGTATACGTACTCAGTATATGTAGACATAGATACAGATATAGATATGTATATATATATGCATATGCACACATACTGTTGTTTTATAGAATTGTCTTTCATAATGGTTTGCAGTTTCAGGAGAATATTCAGTTTAATTTATTGGAGCATCTGATAGATTCAATTATGCAAATATTATTATGTGAATATTATATGCAAGGTATTATAAGAAGTACTGGGGGTTGAAAGATGGAAAAACTGTTCCCAGCTCAAGGAATTCATAGTCTAGTATTGGAAGGGGGAAAAAAAAACATGTTCCCAGGTAACTCTTATACAAGGAGGAATGGGAAATATTTGTAGGAGTGGTCAAACAAAAGGGATAAGCTTTTCCAGAAGTAGTTCTTTTAGGTGGGGGTTCAGAGTAAGGCTTCACGAAGGAGATGGCACCAAAACCCTATTTTTTTTTATTAATTTATTTTGATTTGTCAACAATCACTTCCATAAGCTTTTGAGTTTAAAATTTTTCTTCTCCTCCCTTCCCAAGGTGGTGCGCAATCTGATATAGGCTTTACATATACATTCCTATTAAACATATTTTCACATTAGTCATGTTGTAAGGACTAATTAGAACCATTAGGAGGAACCACAAAAAAGAGGAAACAAAACAAAACAGAAGAAAAAAAATGGCAGATAGTATGCTTCGATCTGCATTCAGTCTCCATAGTTCGTTCTTTGGATGTGGATAGCATTTTCCATCATGAGACTTTTTTTTCTTTTTGTTTTTTTGCATTTTTGGTGAGGCAAAGTGACTTGCCCAGGGTTACACTGCTAGTAAGTGTCAAGTGTCTGAGATGGGATTTGAACGCAGGTCTTCCTGACTCCAAGGCTGGAGCTCTATCCACTGAGCTACCTAGTTGCCCCCATCATAAGACTTTTGAAGATGTCTTAGATCCTTGCATTGCTGAGAAGAGCTGTCTGTCAAAGTTTACACATTTTTTTGTGGGGGGGTTGCAATGGGGCGAAGTGACTTGCCCAGGGTCACACAGCTAGTATGTGTCACATTTGAACTCAGGTCTTCCTGAATCCAGGGCCAGTGCTCTATCCATTGCGCTGGCTAGCTGCCCATCAAAACCCTATTTTGAAGAAAAGGATTTCAACAAGCATATGATGGGGCTGGATGCTTTCTATTATAACAGCTTTAACTGATGTTTTTCTCTCTGCAGGTATTGAATATCAACAGTCAGATGTAACAGCTGTGTGCTACAAGAGCTTTGGCGCTATTTTAACTTATTAGTGCTTCAGATTACAATTTTCCTGATGCCCACTTCTTCAGAATTAAATAGTGGGCAGAATTTTTTAGCTCAGTGGATGTCCAGTCCTTCCCGTGCTGGTGTAATACTGAATCGTGGATTTCCTAGTTTGGAAACAGGGAGAGAGAATCAATCAAAGGCAAATACTTCCTCCAGTTTTACTGTTAAAAGCACAGATTTTTCAGATGGCTGCAGTTTTCTAAGTGACGACTCACTTAATGAAGAACAGATACTGGATTCTAAAAGCCCTTATAGAGTGCAGTCAGATACAATTGAAACACATGCAGTCTTTCCTCACACTAAAAAGACACAACAATTATTGATGTGCAAAGATGCTCTGGGCCACTGGGAAAATGCCAGAATGGATATTGAACCTAATATGGGCAATGCCAAAGAAGCAGCTTATAGAGATCCACTTTTCAAGAAACTTGAGCAGGTAAACAAAATATTTGGCTAGATGTATGGATTATTGTAGGTTTTGTGTATGTAGTTTTTAAATGCAATTCCTCCCCCCAAATTTAAGGGTCTTTTTTTTTAAACTACAAAGAGTATTAAAATTACAGGGTCACTGTTTACTTACTTTTTCTTTTTTTTTGATTTGATTTTATTTTTCAGTTCTGAATTCTCTCCATTTCCTCTCCCCTCCCCATTGAGAAAGAAAGAAAAGCAAAACTTGTTACATATATGTATCAAACAAAATAAATTCCTCCATTACTCATGTCTAAAAAAAAAAAAATCACTTCAGTTTGCTCTCAGTCCATCACTTCTATATCTGGAGGTGGATAGCAAGTTTTATCATGAGTCAGGGTCACTGTTTATTAATAGAAAATCTCTATCCCTTTTCAGAACACACATAAATAACTGTTACAAAAAATTAGTAATTTGTAACATCAGCTATTTTGTTTTTTTCTCTTTATACTTGGAATAAACACTCAACTATTAGAGAGAGTCATTGTACCAAGGGGTATTAGATCTTTCCTAATTATTTTGACTTGCTAGCTTTGGGCCAGTAGCTCAAATGATTACATGATGCTGTTCAGGACTAGGTCATAAGCTTCCTACCTGTATAGTCCAGATTGATTTATTCAAAGGAAAGATTGTTGCCATGGACTTTCCCAAAAATAGGTGTTTTTGGTTCCAAAGGGTATGGTATGGGTCCAGTACAAACTTACAGCACTTATGTGCAAATTGCTTCATCTCTTTGGCTCTCAGTTTCCTAATCTGCAAAATGAGGGGAATGAATTCAGTTATCACCAATATTCTTTTTAGCTCTGATGACCAATGCCACTATGATTCTATAAATAGAATTAAAAAAATTATAATTAGAATTCCTAAGATAAAAATTTAAGACAGATTAAAGAAAAGTTGGCAAAAACTGTATTATAACATGGAAAATAATTAAAAGATAAGTGGACCTACTTAGACCATTTTAGCAATAAGAGAATAGTACAATTTGGTCTGTTACCAAGATTGAGACTAGAATTGACGCAGTTACATTGTCAGGTTGTTGCTTTGTTTCTAAAATGATGGAGGCACACTTAAACATACCTGATGAATCCTTTTTTAAAGTCTTTTTCCTGAGAATGGGGAGGTTTGGGAAGGAATAGAAGAGTACTGAAGAAGAGTCAACAGGGCTTTGTGAAGAAACATCAGGTTAATTGAACCAAAACATGTATTTGAAAAGCTCAAAGAAGTCCAACAGAAGAAGCAGGAGGAACTGAAGAGGCAGCAATTAGAACAGATCCAGAGGCTCCTGGAAGAGCAAGAGAAACTACTGACTATGGTGTCTGGGCAGCAGACACCCTCAGGTAACACAGCAGTCATATATGTGACTCCGTTTACAAAAATACTTTATGTTCCTGATTTTCTTTCCATTATAGTGTTTTGATAAAAGGTTATCAGCATCCTTTTTTCATAGATACAATAGGTACCGTGGCAATAAAAATAATAGATTAGAATCTGGGTTCTTTTTGTTGAGCTGTAGAAAGGTACTAGAATTGTGTTCTGACAGTTTTTATGTTGTAAGTTATAATAAATGATACACATAGAGAATCTGTAATAAGGTAAGTAGCTTCACTGTAATATGTTGTGTAGTGTCTAGCAGAAGGTAACCAGGAAAGAGAGGTCTGGAAACCAATCTGTGTTTAGAACAATTAAGTAAAATGGGAATGTTTACTTTGGAGAAGACTTAGGTGAGATATAATAGTGGCTCAGCTGTATGAAGGGATATCAAAATAGCTTAAACTTATGTTTTCCTTGAGGGCAACTAAAACTAATGGGTAAAAATGATAGGAAAGCAGATTCTCGCTCATAGTAAGGAAGAATTTCCTAATGAATAGAGTTGTGTTGCAATTGTGTAAACTCTTCGCCACTTGAATTATTCTGGAAGAAACTGGATTATCAAAAATTGCTACATTAGCCATGAGGTCGGGCTATTTGACCTTTAAAATCCCAACTTTGAGATTCTATAAATAGCACAGGTTATAAAGTGGGTAGGACACGTTTGTGATTGGTAGTATTACCTTTAGGTTTAGAGCATCTCCCACTCTGACTTCCAGATGCATATGGGGTAAATTGGGAGAGTAGTGGGGATCCCAGTAGCTCAGGAAGTGGTTGTGATAAGGTTTGCCTTGTTTTGATTTGACATGTGCCTGAGTTACTAATATGGCCCTTGTAGAGAATCTTTAGTAAGCCATATATATCTTTTGAATCCTCAGAAGCATAGAATTAGGAATTTTGGGGGTATTCTTAAATGGAGCATTCTTTGCTGCATCGGGAAATGATTGAGTATACAGAACTAAATGCATTTTCAAGGATGTGCTACTGGAAAAAATATACCTCATTATTGAATAATGCTTATTTTTCCTGAATGTGAGTACTAGCAAATATATCCCTAATTAAAATCACGTAGAACTTTGTGTTCAAAATGCCAGCATTATTGTACATAACTTATTTTATTAAAATGTCCCTTTATTTGTTATTTCATTTCTGGGGAGGTAGATGGGTGGAAGGGACAGAGTAGTAGGAGTAGATTAGTAAAATGAGAAGATTTTTCATAAAATATTAATTTTACTTTTGTTTTCCTCATAAGGCTTGACTTTACTATCTGAAGATCAGAGCCCCAAATATGAAACTTCCATTAATTCTGCTACTGTACACAAAACAATGCCTTTCTTGTCACATATGTACCAGAATCAAACCAGAGAAAACACTCATGGTCCTGAAATTTTATCTTGTGGTTCTGTACAAGAAAGAGAAATGAATCCATGCGTGACTATGAGTAAGGAATGCCTCTTATCTTCAAAAGGTGGTAGTACTTCTCCAGACTTTTTTCATGAGGCACAATGTTTAGAAGCATGTGTAAAAACACAGAATGATTTGAAAGAAGAAAATAAAAATATTACAGGTGAGCTATCTTTTGAAATTAGTGCCTTTTATCTAAATAGTATTCTGAATTTCATTTTATATTTATGTATAGAAATGCCAGTGGGCTACTACGTGATAGAATTCTTTTCTAATACTTTTGTTTTGCCACCTGCTGCCTCCCCTTGTCTGTCTTTCTGTCCCTTCCCTTCCTGTTCCTCCTCCACTTTCATGTGCATATATGCATGCGCGCACACACACACACACACACACACACACACTCACACACTCGCATACAATCAAATATTCACAGTATATTTGATTACAGTAGCAAGGTCCAATATGCTGCAGAGTCACTGAATTTGGGCTGGGCATAGAACTGGCCAAAGGTTTGTGACTTTACCGCTAGCATTTCTAACAGACAACGATTTTAAACTCTCTGTGTAATACAGGCTTTTCCAAGTAAGCTCACTTAGGACAGGATAGACACAGTTTGAGTGTGTGTAATTGTTTTTTTTTTTTCTTTTAATCACATAAGAATAGGACAGTGTGGTAGAGTAGGCACTGACAGGATTTAATTCTAGGCCTAGCTCTGCTCCTTACTAGCTATATGTCTTCCAAAGAATCAGTTAAAATCTCTGAACTTTGGTTTTGTAATAGCTTGCATTATCTTTAATACTTGTTAGGATCACATGAGATGATATATGTGAAATCATTTTGTAAACTAATATGCTATTACTAAAACCTTGAGAATTTTTGTTTCTTTGGTACTGGTATTATGTGATTTCTTTTTTGGTTTGATTTGTGGCCTGAGTCCATTGGTGTTCTGCCTTTGGGCTGAGCATGCTTCCAGTGTATCGCTCTGCTATATCTGAATATTTTGTACAATTCTAGAGTTATAAGAACCTTTATTTTGGTTTTATTTGAATTTGAAAGTTTGTGACAGTTTGCATATCTCCAACTAAATATTTCCCAATTCATATCGTAGGGGAAAGTATACTACCATGTTGGGAGAAAATGACAGAACAGTTACCAGAAGGGAAAGAGGTTACAAACTCAAAAAAACCTGGTGATTCCTCTGATATTAACAATGGAAGAAAATTGTTAGCACTGTCTAGTATTGAAGAAAGGTATCTATGTTGATTAACACAGATATTACATGTGTTTTTATTTGTAACAAGGTACTACAATTAAATATGAGTTATTTGTTAAGTGGTGGAGAATCCTTTTACTTAATCATGAAAAATATGTTCAGTTAAAAAGCATTTAGTATGTACCTACTTTGTACAAGGTATTATGCTGGGTACGAAGAGATTAAAAAGTAATACTTATTTAATTGGAAGAATAAAGTCCACAGACATAAGTATAATGCCAGGTAGGGTATCATAAGGGCTTGGGAGAGAACACTTTTACCTGGGCTATTAGGAAAGAGCTATCAAGAAGAAGTTGTAACTAAATTGAGTCTTGAAGGAAGAGAAAAATTCTAAAAGGTGGACATATGGAGGGAGTGTATTTTAAGTATGGGGGTGGTGGGGCAGGATTGCATGTGTAAATGTGTGACTCATGGGAGATGGCAATTAAAGTTCTGGGAACAATTGGTAGTGAAGTTTGGTTAGTACATAAACTGTAAAGGTAAGTAGTGTGAAAATAAGGCAGAATGGTAGGGTTCAATTATGGAAGAACTTAAATTTTAGAATAAGGAGTTTGTAGCTTATCTTCTGGGCTAGAACTTTTTTCATCATGCACTTCATTAGCCAAAAAAAAAAAGTTTGTGCATGTACCCCAATTATGTATTTACTTATATATTATTTACATCTACTAACATATTAATAATTATGTCCCTTGTAAAACTTAAAAATGGATGTGATGACACTTTATCCTAGAGTAACTAGGGAGCCACTGTAGTCTTATTGAATAGAGAAGTAACATGGTCAGACCTGCACTTAAAAAAAAAATACAACATTTTGGCAGCTGTGTAGAGAATGAATTGGAGGGGGACAAATTTGAGAGAGAGAAATCATGAAGGAGGTTGTTGAAATAGCCCAGCTAGGAGGTGATATAGTCACAACACTGTAAAGGTAGAGTGATGGAGATGTGAATGATGTTGTAGAGATGGAAATGACAGGATTTGATACCTGACTAGGTATGTGGGGTGAGGGAAGGTTAGATGTCAAGGAGAATGGTAAGGTTGTTGGTATGCTTCTTAGAAATATGGAAGTTTGGTAGAGAGTTGAGTTTTGGGAAAAGAGTAATGAGTTCTGTTTTAGGTAAGTTGAGTTGGAGATGTCTTTGGCATCTCCAGGTCAAAATGTCAAATAGGCAATTTGCAATGTGGGACTAGAGTTCAGGAGAGAGTCAAGCTGGTTACATAGAACTGCATAGTGATGATGAGAAAACCCACAGGAGTTGACAAAGTTACGAAGTAAGAGCTTGTACCAGGTGAGAGACCAGGACAGAGGCTTGATGAACACCCAAGGTTAGGGAATGTGATATGAATGATGATCCCACAAAGGTGTGGTCAGATAGCTAGCAAAATAAAGGAAGAAAGCAGTGTCACAGCAACATAGAGAGGAGAGGATGGCCAATTGTGTCCAAATGCAGCAGAGAGGCATTGTTAAAAGGATGAGAATTAAGAAAAGAACATTAGATTTGACAATCAAGAGATCACTGATAACTTTGGAGAGAGAACTTTCATTTGGGTGGGGGGTTAAGGACAATGGCGTTGAGATCCTGGGAGAGTACTTGGAAAGATAGATAGTGGTGTTTCCCTCCTCTTTCCCCCAGATATAGAGAAGTTCAAATGAGTGATGGCCTGTTGGGGAAAGATAATACAATTACTATCCAGCCATATTTAAATATCCTCGCTTACTCTTTTCCATGGAAAAATGAAAAGTGTGTGGGGGGAGGGTAAGTGTGGGGAGAGGGTTGGAAGGGGCTTACTGTTCCCTGTTCTGGAATATGAAGCCTGGTGCTGTGGTGATCTGGGGGAACTGGGTGTGGGATTACTAGGGACAGTGGTGTTAGAAATTATCCTGTGCGACTTTTTTAGTGGCTTGGGCTGGATTAGATTTTATCTTGTCTACCCTGAGGAGTCCAGACCCAGTGAAGCCACAGGTTAGCTGTGGGAAGGAGTATTGAAGAGAGTCATGATATTGTGTAAGACACAAATTCATTTTTGGCTATGGCAGGGGAGGGTGAATTGTAACCCACATTCCCACCCTCTTGTTGATCACTCACCCCTTGGGGCCATTACATAGCCCTCACTTTGGTGACCACTTCTCTAGGCCATGAGAACCTCGGAAGGCTTTTGAGCAGAGGAATGAAGATAGTCTGAAAGATGACTTGGAGAGGAAAAAGACTGGAGGTGGGGAAACCAGTTGGGAGACTAGAGTAGAGAGATAGATGTCTGCACTTATTATCTCTATTTCCTCCCTTCTCACTGTCTCCTCAGTTCTTTGCGATCTAGATTTTGACCTCATAATTAAACTGGAACTACTCTCTAGTGTTACCAGTGATCTTTTAGCGACCAGTTCTGATAGTATTTTCACAGCTTTCTTGACCTATAGTTAGTTATATGGTTAGAGGTGGCTCTAGTTGACACTCTTGAATTCCCTCTCCTCTTGACTACTGTCTCCTCTCTGGGTGTCTGTGACACTGTTCCCTCCCGGTTCTCTTCCTTGTGTGACTTTTCTTTCTCAGTCTCTTTTGCTGGCTAATCATCCATATCACGGCCTTTAACTGTCAATGTGTCCTGGGCCCTTTTTCCTCCCTACTCTCTCTGGCTTGGTGACCTCAATAGCTCTCATAGATTTAACTGTCATGTCTAGGTTGAGGACTGCTAGATCTATCTTCTTCCCCCAGTCACTCTCATTATCTTTAGTCCTGCATCATTGCTTGTTTATTGGACACTTCAAACTAGATGCTCCAGATGCATCTCAAACCTAACCTGACCAAAGCAGAACATCTCCCTGTTGAAGGTGCCACCATTCTGCCAGTCATCCAGCATTGTAATCTTGTCAGGAAATTCAACTCCTCCCTCTCCCTCATCTGTTCACTCAGTTGACAGATCTTGCCATTCCTCCTTCCACAGCATCACTCCACTCACATGGCCACCACCATGGTTCAGTATTTCATTACCTCTTGCCTAGATTATTGCCAAGTCTCCTAACTTCTTTCTCTGCCTCCATGCTATTTTCTACTCTGCAGCTAAAGTATTTTTCCCTAAGTATAGACCCAACTATGTCCCTTCCTTATTCATTCGACTGTAGTGGTGCTCTAGGATGATAAATGAGCTCTACAAATTAGCTTTTAAAACACTTTACAACATGGTCCCTTCCAGTTCCTTATTGGACATTTTACATCCTCCTGCACTTGGTGATCTAGCCAAATTGGCCTTTGTAATGGCTGTCCTCTATGCCTGGAATATACTTTCTTGCCTCTGTTTCCCAGAATCTCTCTTTTTAAGGTACAGCTCAAGCACCCCCTTCTACATGAAACTTTTCCTGATCCTCTCCAGCTGCCAGTGCCCTCTCTCCCTCCCTTCTTCCCTCATTACCCTGTATTTAACTACTTCCTAGTTATTCTGTCTCTACTTAGATATGTACTGGTTATTTTCCTTGGAAGTGCCTTGAGATCAGGATTTTTTCATTCCTTGTGTTTGCAACCTCAGGTTTTTGTATAGTGCGTAGTATTTAGTAGTCACTCAATAAATGCTTATTGATTAGGTAGATGCAGTTAGATGTTGTCAATGTAGAAATGACAAGACATGATAACTGAGGGAGAGGGAAGATGATTGAGGTTTCAGGTCTAAATGACTGGCTTTCCATATGAATGGGGAAACTGATTCTTATGAGAGAGGGACTTAATCAAGATCATACAGTTATTAAGTGGTTAAGCTGGGATACTGTCTTCCCTCCCTATGAGATCAATAGTACAAGTATGATTCTCTTCATTATACTCACAGGGAAACTGACAGTAAAAGATTGGCCGAGGGTTGAATGGGACAGCCCTTGAGTCCAGATCTTTGGACTTTAAGTATAGTTCTCTTTCTTTTTTACCATGCTGCCTAGCAGATTCAGATTCCTGAATAACAACTATGAAAATGGATGGCTAGCCCTTTTCCAGGTACTAATCTATCAACATGATATTTTCTCTGTCATTTTATCTGCATAACTGAAAAAGAAAAGTTCCTTATCAGGAATTTTAGTAGGAGCTATAGTTCCCTGGCTTCCTCAGTGCTGAGGAGTCTGTAATTAGGCATCATTCACAATGAAGTGTTTCTGAAATGAGAGGAATCCCTCCAGTCCCACAGGGTTGTTGGGAGGTAAAAGTGAGAAACGTATTCTCAAAACTTTGCAGACTTCATAGTGCTCTACAAATGGTGGTGGTTATTATTTTTGGGGTGGTTATTGTTATTGTTACTATTATCATTTTCTAAAGCAGGGGTTCGTAACCTTTTTTGTGTCACAGACTCCATTGGCAATTATTAAAGTCTTCCCTCCCCATGATGTTTTGTTTTTTTTTTTTAATTCATAATTGTAGGAAATACTAAATTTCAGTTAGAGGCTAGAGAAAATAAAGATGTAATTTTGTTTCCATCCAAGTTCACTCGACTCCCTAAAATCTGTTCATAAATCCTGGTTAACCTCAGCTGTAGAGTCTTTAGATATCTTGAGAATAACTCAGCCAAAATAGAATAAATAATGACAACCACAACAAAAAAATGCTGAGAGACTTGAGAGATTCTTGGTGCCATAAACAGCAATAGGGAACTGGGGAGAGAGTCACAGCACATGAGCAGTTCATTCAGTGTTAAACAAGTGTGAGTTTAAAGTGCTGGTGGAATAGCCAGAGAGGTCCAGAGGGCAGTTAGAGCTGTGGGACTGCAGTGTAGGGACAGATGAGGACTAGCTATATTGATTTTACCACGTATAAAGGTGATAACTAAAGTCTTTGAACCAAGTGATAACTGTCAAGGGACAGGGAACAGAAAAAGAGAAGAGGGCACCAGACAGGACACTTAGGAGAAGATGATGAACTTCATAAAGAAGAATGAAAAGGAGTGTTCAGATAGGTGGGAAGAGAAGCATGCGAGAGCAGTGTCACTGGAGCCCTTCAGAGGGAAGCAGTCAGTTGTGTTGAATATTGCAGCAAGGACATCTAATGATGCTGTTTTCTCTTAACTGATTTTGCTTTTTGGCATAAGGTTGAGTATGAAATGATGCTTATTATTAGCTTGTGAAGGAGATGGCAGATTTGGTAGTTTTGGCATTATGCAAATAACATAGTATAGTATAGTCAGTTTTTTACTTGAGAAGAATGCCTAGATTAAATAATCTTAGATATACAATTTCTGTCATAAATCTTAGACAAAATCCTTCTTTGGAAAAGGAAAAGCAGAAATATAAAAATTCTCATATTTGGTAGCATTTTCCAATTTTAATTGACTAATCTAGCTATAAATCCTAACAGGATGGATGATTAAACAATTCTGACCACAATGTTAAAATGTTCACCTTGAAGTGATATCTTTTTATATTTCTAAAGGTATAATGTATTATATGGACTCATTGTGATCTATTGTGTTAGAGTATTAATGTATCAGATTTATTAGATTTTGTTTCTTAAAATAATTTATTAAATAGTAAATAACCTTATAAAGTTTAAAACTTAGGGCTCTTAGAAATTTCAATGTGGCACTTAATGTTAAATGTTTTACCATCAGGATTTATTTGCATCATAATTTTATTTTCATTATTAGGCCAATTAAAACTGCTATTAGAGAAAGGAAACAGACATATGAAGAATTCTTAGAGGAACAGATTCAGGTAGAAGAACAGGAACTCAAACAAAGGCAGCTACAGGTTAGCATTTCAGATGTTTTGATTAAAATATCTCAAACCTTTAAAAATTCATCATTATTGTATAACTTGCTTTAAAAGTAACGTGACTATTATTCAGTAATATAAATAATTAATTTGTTTTTTATTTTTAGGAAGCAGAAATATCATTGCTAACTAAAGCAATACCAAAACGACCATTCTTAAAACGAGGAGAAGGCCTAGCTAGGTTTACTAATGCTAAATCTAAATTTTGGAAATCAAAGGAGAGTAAATTAATGATTCATCAAAGCATGCCAGAAGAACAATCTGTATTTAAAGCAGACAGACAACAAATGCAGCGGAAAACTGCCCTTGTAAATAAGGAACTAGTTACAGAGATGAAAAAGAGTAATCAAGTCAGAACCAAGACCAGTTCTACTGTAATTTCTCAGAAGTCAAAAGTACTTAGGAGTAATAATGGAAAAATTATTTCTCCATCAAAAATGAAAATGCAAATTGGGAAGAAATTTGATGGTCAGTTTAGAGATCAGATAAAATTAGAAAAAAACAGTAAGTCAGACCGTAATAAGGAAAATATACCAGAGTGTACAAAACCCTTTGAAATTGGTTGCAAAGTCAGAAATAAGCCACAATGCTTGGAAAAGCCTCTTATTTCTACGGAACTGACCCACCCCACCTCTGTTTCTCAAAGCTCTATGGGTCATATTGTAAAAGATCCAGAATTTTCTTTTGAAATTTCATTTCAGAAGAAATTAGACAATTGGGAAAAGGAAAAAGAAAAGGAAAACTTGGAGTTAGATGAATTTTTGTTCTTGGAACAGGCTGCTGATGAAATATCATTCTCTAGTAATTCCTCATTTGTATTAAAAATATTAGAAAGAGACCAGCAGACTAGCAAAGATCACAGAATGTCTTCTACCCCTGTCAAATCAGGGCAGCAAGTGAAAACAAACATAACAGATATTGTTACTTCACATAACCAAAATAAAAAATTGGACTATATTAAACAAGATGATAAGAATATATGTGAAATAACAAAACATCTTGAATCAAAAGCATTACCTCTTAGTTTGAAGGAACAGACCAGCAAACTTGGCATAAAAGCATTTCAAACTACTACTTCTGAGAATCAAATTAAATGGAATGTAAGTGAGGATGAAGATGATGGGAACAGTGCTATCAGCAGTGACTTTGAAGAGCAGCTGGATAGCACCATAAAAGCAACAAATAAAGATACTAAGAAGTTTTTCAGCAATAGTAGAGAAGATAATCCAGAGAAGGATAATGGTAAAGGACCATTCAGAGACACCAGGAAGGAGGGTAAAAGCAGGGATATTGATCTGGATTTGTCAGATAAAGATGACAGTAGTGATGAATCCATCGTGGTAGAAAGCATGAATGATGAAGTTCCTGAGGCTTCAAGAAGGGCATCATGTACAAATACTAATAAAATTGACTTTGATGATGAGAGAACATGGACTGACCTTGAAGAAAATGAAAGTAAACATGACATACTGGGGAACGAAGATGTTAATGGGCTTCCATTGATGGACTATTGTAGTAAAACTGAAATAGCTAATTTGGACAAAGCAATAAAAAGGAAGGTTGCACCCATAAAGAAAGGAGATGATTTATGTAAATCCACTAAGAGTGTAAGTCCTCCTCCTACTTCTGATCTGATGATGAAACTCTTTCCTTCCCTGAAGCCTAAACCTAAGTCAGACTCGCACTTAGCATCTGAATCCGAATTAAATAAAAGCCAGGAACAACCACTTGGTAAGTCTTAATATTATAAGAAACTAAAGATTTATCAGAATGCCATAAAACCTAAATTTATTCTGAGATCAGATATTTGAAATCTCAAGCTTTCCTTTCACTGATGTATCATCAATTTGAAAAACATTTTTTGATTGCATACTCCCATGTAATGTGCTATCGAGGTATCATCTCACCAGAGCTGTACAAGTTATAATCTGTACAACCCCTGTGGAGCTTACTGTCCAGGAGGAGACATACATAGGTACAGATTACTATAGGACAATGTCAGATGTAGTAAGGTATCAAGAAAGTGTTCCAGGAGCATAGTGGAAGGAAATTCATTTAGTAGATCTTACCCAAACATTGAGATAGTCTAGTAAAAGGGTTTAGAAGAAAATAAGAGTGGAAAGACATGGTTTTTTACTTTTCTAATTCCATGTGTTAATATTCATTCATATGTAACCCAATAATAGTCTAATACTTTCAGTTTTTGCCACAAAGGGGAAGTTTGAAGGAGTACTTACATGTAATTGTATTTCACCAGCATTTTCACCCTAGAGGAACATGAATTCCAGTTTTCTAAAGATTTCTGCCTTTGTACAGCAAATTTGAGAGATGAGCATGTGTATTTGTGTGTGTGTGAGAGAGAGAGAGAGAGAGAGAGAGAGAGAGAGATAGAAGGGACCTGTTTGCCTACAATATTAAATCATTAGATTTTGACTGTATATAACTTTAGTACCCAGAACAGTGTGGGTGATTTATGATAGCATTTTTCACATTCTGAGGTGGAGTAATATGTTTCTTTTTATATTTAGACCTTAACGTACTTTCTTTAGGGAAATTAAGCCAATTTTTATTATTTTTATTAACTGTAGCAGAGCTTGTAAGTGATTTTAACTTTAAAGTGCCTACACATTGTTACCATTTAATTATGGCAAGATATTACTATAGGTTTTCTAATCACAACTCAGCATTCATACTATTTAATATGTTGTAGGTGATAGTGTTCGCTCCCAGATTTTAAGAGACAAAGTTGTTGAGTTGGAAACAGAAATTGAAAAATTTAAAGCTGAAAATGCATCATTAGCTAAGCTCCGCAATGAAAGAGAAAGTGCCTTAGAAAATCTCAGGTAAGTTTGTGAATTTCTAGAGTGTAATCAGAATGTGATGCATTGACTAAGGGTAGTTCATGTTATTTTCACTAGGAATATACTTAAAAGCAATTAAATCTTGGAGTACTGCTGAATGTTTGGTGGCCAATAAAAACATCAAGATTTCTCCATGAGGATCTAGTGATAATTTGGTTTTTCACCTAGGGCAATGGTTATCTTCAGTACTTGTTGAGGATTTTTAATATTTAATCTTACTTTCTTATTAAAGGAAAGGGTCCGATATTTGAAATCCCAAGCTTTCCTTTCACTGATGTATCATTAATTTGAAAAACTTTTTTTATTGCATTCTCCCATGTAACGTACTGTCGAGGTACCACTTCACCTAAGATGTACAAGTTATAATCTGGGCTCACATAATACCTGGAATCGGTGTTCTGGCCTCTTAGGATTCATTGTTTAAGCATAAAGATTGAAAAGTACCTACCCCTTAACAGCCAACATTTGTAATAATGTTTATTATGTGTCAGGCACTGGACTAAGCACTTTACAATTATTATCTCATTTGATTGTAACAATGACCCTGGAAAGTTGGTGTTATTATCTCCGTTTTATAGATGAGGAAACTGAGACAGGGGTTAAGTGACTCGCCCAGGATCACATAGCTAATGAATGCTTGATGTAGGATTTGAAATTCAGGTCTTCCTGACTCCAGGCTTAGAGCTTTGTCCACTGCTCCACCTAGATGTTTAATCCGCTTTACAGAAAAAGTAAATATATAGTTTTCAATGGCAACATAACCTATTCTTAATTCCTTCGATCTTCTGATTTTACAGTAACAGATTATTTTTGTATAGTTGTATTCTGTGTCTATACATTCTTTCCAGTGCTGCTTTTTTATTGGGCATTATTTTATAGACATAGCCACATTTCTGCATATTCTTCATCTTATTCAGCATTCTTTATGTCAGTGTGTATAGAGTATTCATTTTTACATTTACTCTGTGCCAGGCACTGTGCACAAGATAACACAATGATCTCCACCTCTCAGAGAACTTACATTATACCAGAGACAGATATTAATGGGCTATAGTCAGTTGAGTGATTTTCTAATCATAAAAAATTTAGGTTGTTGGCAAGCCTTTTTTTGTATTATTAGAGTGAAAATTATGAATGTCTTTTTTTACATTTAATTTTTATTTCATTTTTCTCAGTTACATGTAAACAAAAATTTTGAACTTCTGTTTTTTAAAATTTTGAGTTCCAAATTCTCTCCCTCCTTCCTTCCCCTCCTCCGTCCTTGAGAAGGCAAGCCATTTTACATAGATTATGCATGTGCAGTCATGTAAAACATTTCCATATTAGTCATGTTGCAAAAGAAAATGCAGACCAAACAAAACAAGAATAATAAAGTAAAAAAAGTATGCTTCAGTCCGTATTCAGACTCTATCAGTTCTTTCTATGTAGGTGGGTTACATTTTCCATCATAAGTTCTTCAGAATTGTTTTACATCACTGTATTGCTGAGAATAGTTAAATCATTCACAGTTGATCATCATACAATATTATTGTTACTGTATGCAGTGTTCTGATTTTGCTCCCTTTGCATCAGTTCATGTAAGTTTTATAAGTCTTTCCAGGCTTTTCTGAAAACATCCTGCTCTCTCTTCTCTCCTCCCTCCTTGAAAAGATAAGCAATTTGATTTTGATTTTACAAGTGAATTCATGCAAAACATTAACATATTAGCCATATTGCAAAAGAAAACACAAAATAACAAAAATAAAGGAAATATAAAAAAGTATGATTCAATCTGCAGAGTTCATCAGTTCTCTCTCTAGAGACATACAGCATTTTCCCTCCTGGGTTCTTTGGAATTCTCTTGGATTATTGTCTTGATCAGAATAGCTCAGTCTTCCACAGTTGATCATCGTATTAATATTCCTGTTACTGTGTAAAATGTTCTCCTGGTTCTGCTCACTTCACTTTGCATGAGGTAATATAGTTTCCCAGGTTTTTTCTGAAACTATCCTGCTCACTATTTCTTAGAGCAGAATCATATTCCATCACAATCATATAACACAACTTGTTCAGCTATTCCCCAATTGATTGGCATCCCCTTGATTTCTAATTCTTTACCACACCAAAAAGAGTTGCTATGAGTATTTTTGTACAAATAGGTCCTTTCCCTTTTCTGTGATCTCTTTGGGATACAGACCTAGCAGTGGTATTGCTGGGTCAGAGAGTATGTACTGTTTCTTAACCCTTTGGGTGTAGCTCGAAATTGTTCTGCAGAAGGTTTGGACTAATTCCCAGTTCTACGAAGAGTGTATTAGTGTCCCAATTTTTCCATGTCCCTACCAGCATTTGTCATTTTCTTTATCTGTCATGTTAGCAAATCTGATAGATGTGAATTAGTATCTCACAGCTGTTTAAATTTACATTTCTCAGATCAGTAGTGAATTAGAGAATTTTTTCATGTGATTATTGATAGCTTTGGTTTCTTCTTCTGAAAACTGTCTGTTCATATTCTTTGACCATTTATCACCTGGGGAATGGCACTCTTGTTTTTTTTTGTTTTTGTTTTTTTTAATAAATTTGGCTCAGTTTCCTATATATTTGAGAAAAGAAACTTGCTGCAAAAATTTTTCCCGTTTCCTGTTTTCTTTCTAATTTTGACTGCCTTAGTTTTGTTTGTGGGAAAGCTTTTTAATTTCATGTAATCAAAATTTTCTATTTTACTTCCTGTAATCCCATCTGTTTCTTGTTTGGTCATAAGCTCTTCCCTTATCCATAGATCTGATAGGTACATTTTTCTATATTCCCTTAATTTATTTATGATATCACTCTTTATGTCTAAGTCATTTATCCGTTTTGACCTTATCTTGGTATAATGTGTGAATTTTGGTCTGTGCCTAGTTCCTTCTAAACTGCTTTCCAGTTTTCCCCAAAATTTTTGTCAGATGTTGAGTTTTTTCTCCAAAAGCTTAGATCTTTGGGCTTATCAAACATTAAATTACTATGGAGATTTATTGCTTTGTATTGTGTACCTAATTTATTCCACTGATTCACCATTCAATTTCTTAGCTAGTACTAGATTGTTTTGATGATTACTGCTTTGTGATATAGGCCATCTTCCTTAACACTTTTTTTTCATTGATGCCCTTGATATTCTTGACATTTGCTTCACTTCTGATCTTAATGAGGAAGGCATCAAGTTTATCCCAATTACAGGTAGTGTGTCCTTGATTTACTTATATTTTAAGAAAGGCTCCATTGATTCCTGTGCTTTCTTGTATTTTTAAGGAATGGGTGTTGCATTTTGTCAAAGGCATTTTCTACATCTATTGATATGATTGTATCATTTTTGTTGTTACTCTTATTGATATGGTCAATTATGCTGATTTCCTAATATTGAACAACCCTGTATTCCTGATATAAATTCCACCTTGCCATAATGTATGATCATCATGATATATTATTGTAATCTCCTTACATTTTTGCTTTGATACTCATAAAGAAATTGGTCTATAGTTTTTCTTCTCTGGTTTTGCTCTTCCTGGTTTGGGTATCAAAACCATATTTGTGTCATAAAAGGCATTTGATAGGATTCCTCCTTTACCTATTTTTTCAAATAGTTTATATAGTATTGGAATTGGTTATTCCTTAAATATTTGGTAGAATTCATTTGTGAATCCATTTGGTCCTGGGGATTTTTTCTTAGGTAGTTCATTGATGGCTTGTTCAATATCTTTTTGTAAGATAGGGTTATTTAAAAATTCTCTTTCCTCTTCTGTTAATCTGGGCAGTTCATATTTTTGCAAATATTCATCCATTTCACTTAGAATGTCAGTTTTATTTACATATAATAACTGGGCTAAATAACTCCTAATAATTGCTTTAATTTTCATTTCATTAGGGTACATTCACCCTTTTCATTTTTGATACTGGTAATTTGGTTTTCTTTTTTTTAAATTTTTTTTACTTTTGGTGAGGCAGTCAAGGTTAAGTGACTTGCCCAGGGTCAGACAGATAAAAAGTGTCAAGTGTTTGAAGCTGAATTTGAACGCAGGTCCTCCTGACTTTCAGAGCTGGTGCTTTATCCACTGTGCCATCTAGCGGCCCCTGGTGTTCTTCCTTTTTTAAAGAAAATTAAAATAGTTGATCTGTTTTGTTGTTGTTGTTGTTTTTCATAAAATCAGCTCCTAGTTTTATTAATTCAGTGTTTTTTTTAAATTTTAAATTTAAAATTTTTTTAAAATTTTCACTTTTTTTCTCTCCTTTGATTTTCAGGATTTCCATTTCTTTGTTTAATTGGGAATTTGTAATTTGTTCTTTTTCTAGTTTTTTTAGTTGCATAACTAACTCATTGATCTGCTCTCTTTTATGAATGTATGCATTTAGAGATAAAATTTTTCCCTATGTACTGCTTTGGCTGCATCCCACAAATGTTGGAATGTTGTCTCATTGTTATCATCTTAAATGAAATGATTGTTTCAATGTTTTGTTCTTTGAACCCTCATTCTTTTTTAGTTTCTAAGTTTTTTGTTTTTGTTTTTGGGCAGTGGGGTTAAGTGACTTGTCCAGGGTCACACAGTTAGTAAGCGTTATGTGTCTGAGGTCAAATTTGACCTCGGGTCCTCCTGAATGCAGGGCCGGTGCCTATCTACTGCGCCATCTAGCTGCCCCTAGTTTCTAAGTTTTAATCTATGTTTCCATGTCCCTTTACTAAATGTAATTTTTTATCGCATTGTGGTTTGAAAAGGGTGCATTTAATATTTCTGCTTGTCTGTATTTGGTTATGAGGTTTTTATGCCCTAATACATGGTCAGTTTTTGTGAGGGTGCCATGTACAGATGAGAAAAAGATATACTCCTTTCTATTCCCATTCAGTTTTCTCCAGAGGTCTATTATATCTAACTTTTCTAAATTTTATTCATCTCCTTGACTTCCTTTTTTAATTTATTTTATGGTTAGATTTATCTAGCTTTGAGAGAGGAAAGTTGAGGTCCCCCACTAGTATAGTTTTACTGTTTCCTCCTGTAATTCATTTAACTTTCCCTTTGAGAATCTGGACGCTATAGATGACATTTGTTGCATATATGTTTAGTATTGATATTACATCATGATCTGTGGTTTCTTTTAGGAAGATTTAGTTTCTCTGCTTATCCTTTTTAATTGGTTCTATTTTTGCTTTTGCTTTGTTTGAGATCATGATTGCTACCCCTGCCTTCTTCATTTCAGTTGAAGCAGAATAGATTCAGCCCCTTAATTTAATTTTGTGTGACCTTTTCAAGTGGTTTCTTGTATACAACATGTTGTTGGAATTCTAGTTTCTAATCTTTTCTGCTGTCCACTTCTGGTTTATGGGTGAGTTTATCTTATTCACAGTTATGATTACCAATTGTACATTTCCCTCATCCTATTTTCTTCTGTTTATCCTGCTCTCTTTTCATCCTGTCCCTCTTCTAAAGTCTGTTTTGTTTCTTCTTTTTTTCTTTTTTCTTCCCTTTTATCACACACCCTCCTTCTCTCATCTCTTTTGCCTCCTACAACAGGGAACCATTGAATAAGATAGATTTCTGTTACCAATTGAGTATGTATATATATTTTCCCTTTTTGAACCCCTCAGGGCTTCCACTTCCTCTTGACCAAAAGAGGTCAGCCTATGACCCAGAAGTTGGTATAGACAATGAAGCTGCCAAACAGCATCTGTTCCTGTGTCCAGTGTTTGCACAGGGGTACTCTGTAATCTCTTTCTGACCAGGTGCCAGGTTCGCTGTCTCTGACTTGAGAGCTCCTGAAGCTGCTGCTTTCTGTCACCACCACCTAATCCTACCACTGGTTTCATTCACCTGGGCTCCCGGACAGCCTCTTCCCAGGTGTCACAGATCTCTATTTCTAATCTGTCTTGCTTGGCTTTGCAGAATGTCCCACTGTGACCTTTAGGGTCTGCCACTCCAGAATTTGACTTGTGGTGTTATTTTAAAGTTTGGAGGGGAATGTTGAGAGAGCTCAGCAGAGTGTTTCTGTACTCTACCATCTTGGCTTTGCCCCTGGAAGTCGGTAGGCTCTTAATAAGTGTTTGTTGACTGACTCTGCCTCCTTTCCTCCTCAGAGGTTCATTTGATCTGTACTTCTCATTCAGTCAAAATTCTGGTAGCTGTTTTCTACCAACTTCAGGGACAGTCCTCTTCTTTTTTCAATGTGTTCAGTGCTTGGCTCAGTCTTTCTCACCTCTTCATCTCCTGCCCTCATACTAGGAGACTTCATATATACTGACTCTCCCTCAAACACTCTCTCTAGTCTTCTTATTCCTTTTCTCCTCCTTTCCCTTCCCCATATACTCTGAAATCCAGTAACACTGGCCTTATGTTCCTTAAACAAGATATCCCACCTCCTGATCCCTGGCATTTTCACTGGCTGTACCCCACATGTGGAATGTTTTGCTTCCTCATCTCCACTTACTGGCTTTAAGACCCAGCTAAAATCCCTCCTTCTAAAGCAAGCTTTTTCTGATCTTCCCTTAATTTTCTAGTGCCTTCTCTCAGTTGGTTATTTTCAGTTTATCCTGTTTATAGCTTGTTTGTATATGGTTGTTTGCATGTTCTCTTCCCCATTAGATTATGAGCTTCTTGAGGGTAGGGGGACTGTTTTTTGCTTTTCTTAGTTACTCTACACTTAGTACAATGGCTCCAACATAATAGGCACTCAGTAAACAGTTAAGTGAGTAATCCTAGAGAAGGAATCAGAAAACTCTTGGCTCTGGATTTCTTCTTCCTGGCCCCATCAGTTGATGACCCATTTCGCAGCTGAGTGGAGGGTAGATTGGAATAGGGAGCAGATGATGTCAAAAGACTATTTCAGCCTTCCAGGTGAGACAGGTGATAGGGGCGTCTACTAAGGTGCCTTGCTGCATTGTGAGTGGAGAGAAAGGGATATACATAGATGTTGTGAAGGTAGAAATGATAAGATTTGGTGCATTGGATAAGTGGGATGAGTGACAGGTAAGTTGAGGATAACACTGAGGTCAGATAAGAATATTGTTGTACCTTCAACAGTAATAGGGAAGTTCAGAAAATGGAAAGGTTTTGGACATGTGAATTTCAGATGCCAGTGAGACATACAGAATGAAATGTTTAATAAGTAGATGAAGATGTGGGTTGGAGCTGAGAAGAGAGACTGTGGTTGGATATATAGATTTGGCAATCCTCTGCATAGAGATGATAACCTGTGGGAGGTGATGAGATCACTAAGTAGAGAAGAGAATCCAGGGAAGAATCTTAAGAGATACCCACAGTTAGGAAAGATGATAAACCAGGTTAGATGTCCAAAGGTATTTGGTGATGCAAGACTGTAGTTTGAGAGACAAGGGCTAGAGATATAGACACAGAAATGTGTTTAAAAAAATGTATACTCACACACACACATATATATGTGTGTATAGATCTCTATTTATCTTGTATATTATATACACACATATATACATATACACATATCTTCCCATTTTACAGATGAGGAACTGAGGCAGACAGATGTTAACTGATTTGTGTAAGGCATACAGATAGTAGGTATCTAATGCTGAATTTGAACTCATGTCTTCCAAATTCCAGTTTTGATGCTCTATCATGCCATCTTGTTGCCTTATAAAAGTATATATGGGTGGATTCATGGAGGGCTTTGAATTTGGATTCATTAAGTAGTGGTAAGTCACTGAAGGTTTTGAACTGGTAGGTGACATCTTTAGAAAGATTAATCTGGTAGCAATGTGTAGGATAAACAGAATCCCCAGTATTATTAAGTTATTGCAATGATCTAGGTGAAAGGTAATGAGAACTAAAGTAGGAGTGTGGTTGTTTGGATTGGAGAGAGGGGGAGGACAGACTTTGGGATAATACAGTATGAGAAACAGGTCTTAAAGGGCAGGGAATTGGGTAAATTAGTGGGGCAGGCTTTCTGTGTTCTTGCTTCCCCATATAGTGGTGTGGCTCAATTTGGAATGGCAGATTCAGTATTGAACAAGGGATAGCAGGTGTATAAAACAAGCCTGTATAAACTTGCTTTCTCAGAACCAGCTTATGGATAGATGCTGGGTTCTAGCATCAATGGACAAACTAGAGGCAGATCAGGCCCCAAAATACTGTTAAATCTTATAACCCGGGAAGCTGCTATTTTAAAAAGGCATCTTTGCTGCACTTTTCATTTAAGAATAAAATATACGTTTGATTGGCTAGCAAACTAAAGGTCATTATGTAATGATGCCATCTTGAAGAATGACTATATATTTCTAGCCTCATTCTTTAACTTTTGTTTTGAGTAGGAGACATTATAAAGTTAAGCGACATCATAGATATATAAAATTATGTACATATGTATACACATAACAGTTTTAGAGCAGGAAGGATCCTTATAGCTCATTTTGAATTTGAAGAAAACTAAGGCTAAATGAGAATAAATGACTTCTTCAAAGTCACACAAACAAAGCCAGAATGAGACCCAGGTAATCTCATTCCTGGCCTAATATACGTTTACACAGGCAAACAAAAATGAGAAGTTGCCATTGCCTTATTCACTTGGTTATGTTGTAGAGTTCATAGCCATGAATTAGAAGTTCAGAGACTATCCAGAGGGAATGTCAGCTTTGTATGGTAACTGTTATCATTAACTGTAGCTCAGTTATCTAATATCCTAATTCTGGTCTCTTATGATATCTGATATAGCCGAGAATATTACCATATTCACATAATGTTTGTCTCATGTTAGTTCCCTGATTTTGACATTGCAGGTTGTCACTTAAAATTCCTTATTGATTTGACATTTGGATTACTCTACTGGATATTTATTCTAGGTGATAAGATGTATTTGTATTTAATTAATTTAGAAAGGAGATTGCAGACTTTGAGCAGCAGAAAGCAAAAGAATTGGCTCGAATTGAAGAGTTTAAAAAGGAGGAGATGCGAAAGCTACAAAAAGAACGCAGAGTTTTTGAAAAGTACGCTGCAACTGCAAGAGCAATTCCAGATAGAAAGGAGCGTGAAGAAATTCAGGTATGAGAGCTCATCGTGGCACAAACATGTGAGCTGTGCAGAGTGCTCGAAGTTGTATTGATAGACCGATAATCAGAAAATGTCAGGAATATATTGTTATAGAATTTTTGTTATGGATCTACAACACAGGATTCATTTGCTAATCTCAATCATTTTAAGTGTTTTTTAAGTATGATGTCAGAATTCTAACTAAACATACTCGGTGCAATATGGTACTTATAAAAATAATTAATAATTATCTCTAGCACTAACTAGATAAATATGATATTTTTCTATGTAAAAGCCAGGAAGATGTCATAGCTGCAGATTGGATAGCATGTACACTGAAATAAGAATTGGTTCATTTGATTCTCATTGTGCAACTGTAATCAAGCTGTAGCTCAGTTATTTAATATCTTAATTCTGACCTCTTATGTATATCTGATATGACTGAGAATATTACCATATTTAACTCAGGCTTTGGTGTTTTTATTTTTATTAAAAACATTTTCCATTGGAGTTCTGTTTCTGTGCATGGAGTTGACCATTGATTCTTTTAGATATGCCAGTGGAGCATAAACTTTGAAAGGTCCTAGAAGGACCTTCAGATATGTGCCAAGTGATATATCAACTGTGTGTCTGACTTCTGATGACCAATCTAGCCAAATGTTGAGTAATCACATCACCAAAACATTTGATACCAGGTGATGAACTTTTTTGGCTGTGGCAGCCGAAATGATAGTCTATTGAGGTGTAAAGCAGTTGTTAATCAGTGGATGGAATATAGATGCTCATTGAAATAATGGATTTGTTTTTTTGAAGTATCAGTGTTTCTAGAAGGAGATTATTAAAAAGCAGAGTTGTAATTGCATATAATGCTTATATCTTGGCTTTTTTATAATGTCATTTAAGGCAATGGTTTTTATAATAGAAGACAGTAATAGTTTTTCACTGAATATAGTTTCTTATTAATTAGATTAAAAAAATTCCTTTCATATTTATTTACTAATTTGAAATAGATTAGATTTGGGAACGTTTTCTTTCCTCTGCCCTTCAGTCTTGGCTTTATTCTCAAGCTCCAGTTCTACATTCAGCTGTCCATTGCACATTTTTATGTAGATTTTGTATCATCAGCTAAAATTCTGTCTAAAACTTGAATTTCTGTTCCACCCATATGTTCTTTTATAAGGTAACAAGATGGCACAATAGAGCATCAAAGCTGGAATTTGGAAAACATGAGTTCAAATCCAACCCGACACCTACTATCTGTGTGCCTTACACAAGTCAGTTAACATCTGTCTGCCTCAGTTCCTCATCTATAAAATGGGAAGATATATATATGTATATGTATATATGTGTGTATATAGTATACAAGATATAGATCTATACATACATATGTGTGTGAGTATACTTTTTTTAAACACGTGTGTGTGTCTATATAATAGAAAATAATACCAAAGCCTGAGTTAAATATGGTAATATTCTCAGTCATATCTTCTTTATCGAGAAGAATAATAATGGCTCTGAAGTTAGAGAACTGGATTAAATTCTGACCTCTGCCACTTCACTGACACAGGTCATTTCACCACCCTCAGCCTCAGTTTCTTCATCTATAAAATGAAAAGGTTGGAATAGATGATCCCGTGAAATCTTTCAGCTCTATGTTGATAATCCTATGACTTCTTTATTTGGATTAATGTTAATTGTTTTTCTCTTCAAGTGCATTCAGGCTTGAAATTCAAATCTCCTCTTCTGGTTTATCATCCGTGTGTATACCTCTAATTGTGGATATACCTCAACGGCTCTGTCCTGAGTTCTAATTCGTTTTGTACATTATCTCACTTGGTTCTCATAGATTTAATTATTGTCTCTATGCAGATCACTCCCAAATCCAGCTGTAGTCTTTCTTGTGAGGTCCAGTGGCACATCTGTAATTACCTATTGGATATTTCAAAATGGATATTCCTGAGACATCTCAAATTCTGTGTGTCTCAAACTGAACTTTTCTTTTTCCCAAATCTTACCTTTTCAAACTTAGTTTTGTTGATTACACCACCCTCTTGCAGTCACACAGGTTTGCAACCTTGGTGTCATCCTTGATTCTTTGTTCTTTTGTCATTCCACATATCCAATTAGTTGCCAAATCTTGTTTCTACTTCTATAATATCTCTTGTCTGTCCCCTTCTCTTTGTTCTCACAGCCTTAGTTTAGGCCCTCATTACCTTTTGCCTTAACTAATGTAGTACCTTTCTAATTGGTCTCTTTGCCTCAGGTGTCCTCCTCCACACAGTTGTCAAGTGATATTTTTCCTTATGTGCAATTCTGATTATGTTATTTGCTTACTCAATGGATTTTAATAGCTTCTTGTTGCCTCTGGGATCAAATATAAAACCCCTTTGTTTAGCTTTTAAAGCCCCTTACAACCTAGCTCAAGCTTCTGTATCCAGTTTTAGAGTAGAGTGTTCCATTTCTTGCATTCAGCTATTCTGCCAAACTGGCCTTCTGGCTGTTTTCATATGGTACTCCATCATCCATCTCTGTGCTTTTTACTGGCTGTGCCCCATACCTGGAAATGCTGTTCACTTTTTGTACTTCTTGTTTCTTTCGAAACTCTTCACACGTGCTACCTTCTTTAATGAAGCTTTTTATAATTATCCCACCAGTGCCCTTCCCACCAAAATTTGAACCTACACATTTATGTACCTGCTATCTTCCTTATTTAGAGTGTAAACTCCTTGATGGGAATAGGGGACTGCTTCATTTTTGTCTGTCTTTTCAGCTCCTAGTGTCTGGTACATAGTTTGTACTTAATAAATGCTTGCTGATTGGTTTTCCATCTTTTCTATTCTACTATATTTAATTAGTAATCTAGTCGAGTTTTCTTCATGTCTTCCATATCTCTCTGTCCTTTTCTTTCCCACGTCACCATCCACAGTTCATGACTTGACTATTGCAGTAATCTTCGAACTGCTCTATATGTCTGGTCCTTCCCCTGTCACCATTTCCTAACTCTGTCCTGCTGCCAGATTTTTTCTTTTTAAATTTCCTTTTGTTTTATAACTGCTCCACTCAAAGTGCCAGCAGGACAAAATCCAAACCTGGAATTCAAAGCCTTAGCTTCAACTTAACTTTCCTAGTTTACATTGCATAATGTTTCTACAGGATCCTACTTCTCTAGCCAAACTGATACACTCTTTATGCCCTTGAATATTATGCTTTGCCTTCTTGGACCTTTGTTGAAACTGTTCCCCTTACCTGAAATCTCTTCTCTTTTTGATCTGCTGATCATAGTCTTTCAGGGCCAACTTAGACTTGGTTTTTTTTCCTCATCCAAAAGTGTTCTTGTTTTTTTTTTTAATTCCTATGTCATTACTGTTTGATATTTAATATATACAAGACTTTTTGTACCAGTTATTTTTGTATGTCTTCTCTCCCTACCTAGCTTACGAACACATGACTGGCAGGTACCATTTGTCCTAAACCTTTTTGTATGTACCCATGATACCTAACAGTTCCTTGGATGTAAATAAATACTCCGTCTGTTTACATGCATGTCTATGTCACCTAGGATCTATTCATACTATAGCAGCTTGATAACAAAAAATGTCATTTAAGTTTATTGAGCACCTCTGAATGCTTGCTTCTCTTTTGAAGGCTTTAAAACAACAAGTAGCAGATTTACAAGAAGAGTTGAAGCGAAAGGAGACAAAGTGGTCAGATACACATGGTCGCCTTAAAAGCCAGATAGAAACATTAGCTAAAGAGAACACTGACCTTCGGGAAGAGATAAAAATAATGGAACGGTTTCGACTTGAAGCCTGGAAAAAAGCAGAAGCTATTGAAAACAACTTAAAGAATGAACGTCCCTTGATTTCTGTGAAAAAAGAAGAGTCTCCAGTGAGTTTATAGTTATTTTTTACTGATCACATATATTATTCAGAATTTAATCCAAATACAAACAGATTTTTCTAATTGTTACAAACTTTGGATTCCAACATTGCTAATTATAATCTGTAGTTAAACTGAAGGTATGTTTTTTTGTGTTGAGCCTGATACGAGATTTTAAAAATCAATTAATTGACATGTTTAAATCTTAAAACTGAGAGGTACAAATTGAGGGATTTGTTAATAGAGTGAATGATCTCCTTTCTGGGATATTATGTAGGGAAAAAAAATCAAACTACTTTAGTGCACTTTTTTTTTTTTGCTTTTTGGTGAGGCAGTTGGGGTTAAGTGACTTGCCCAGGGTCACTTTAGTACTATTTTTAAAGAATATTTCCCTCTTTGAAAGTGGATTACTTATCTGACTGTACTAGGTCCTTTGGTAGGAATAAACATTTGCTATTGACTTCTGAAAGCAAACTGAACAAAATGATGCCTAATTTTTTTTCATGATGCCTAATATTTTTGTCACAGATTGTTCACCATTAAAAAAATAAGCATTCTTCTTTTTTACTTAAAGTGTCCATATGTAATATGATTACAGAATCCATTGTTAGGCTTTCAGAAGAGTCAGAACTTATCTTCAAGTCAGATGGAAAAATACAAGAAAAATCATTCACCAGGACGAGGTATGACATGGTTTATGGGTACACCATAAGCATACATGTATATTATAAAAAAACTTAGCAGAAACTTATCCATGACCTGTTAGGTGTTCACCTATTAATGATCTATTTTATGAATTAAGTTCTCACATTTTTACAACATTGAAACTCTTCTTCTTCATGTCTGAGTTTGACTTTGGATTCTTTTAATAACAATAAAACCTGTCAGTCATCAAGCATTTATTACATGTTTAGGCACTGTGCTAAGCCTCAGGGATATGAATAAAAGCAAAATCATAATCCCTGCCCTCAAGGAATTCACATTAAAATGGAGTATTACACTGTGCAAATAAAAATAACTATGTACAGACAAAATATATACAGTGTAAATTGATAATACTTAAATCCACATTTACAAATGTTTGTGAGTTCTTCTGTTATTCTTCCTAGCTCTTTTTTAATTTCTTTAAAACTATTTTTTTCTGGACCTGTTTTCTTTAACAAAATGTCATCAGCTCCCTTTGAGTAAAATCTTCTGAAATGGTTTCTTATTGCTTACTTGGAAGTGTACCACAAGATTGATTTAACAATTTTAAAAAATTTCGATATCGTTACTTTTTACTTGAAATTTTTTTGCTTAGAGAATTCGAGAGCTTCATTTTAAATTTTGTTATATTCTGTTGGTAAATAGCTTTTTAATTTTGCTGGAAGCATGGAACTGTTTTTAGCCATTTGATAACAACACTGTGCAGGGAGATCACCATATAGTCAATGTCTTGTTTTTCTTCTTTGGATTTGGTGCTTGAACTAGGTGTGTTTTAACACTTTTCCTTGTTGTTTCTTGAATCATCTTGATTTTACCCAATTATCCATGTGCATAGGTACAAAAAAAATTTACAATTAATAAAACAAATATCCCCTCTTCCCCTCAACTTGACTGAGAATATAGAAAAACACTTTTCATTATGCTAATCTAATCAACTGATTAAATACACACCATCTTTTTGATGCCTGATTTGAGTCAGATCTTTAAGAAGACAACTTTCTAGTAAAGTGATAGTTCTCTGAATCTGTTAGATGGAGAAATTGTGTATGAACTATACAAACAGAAAAGCAGAAAGGTTGGCTGTGAGCTCCACAGAACATAGTTTATAAGAAATGCTAATCTTTGGCATATAGCTTAATTTTTGTCCCATTAAGAAGCAATACGTGAAATCACAGGGAGGCCCAGGCACTTCAATTGAATCCATCAGTTGCAGACTTGATGAAATTTTAAATGTGTTAACAAGATGGTTTATACTTAGTGATTTCTTAACAAGGTGTGGAAAAACAGAAAAAAAACAAGGTGTGAACTTTGATTGGGTCAAGGAGGGGATAGCTATTTGACCAATGAGACATGCTAAGCATTCCTGGAGGACTTTAAATAGATGGAATAAGTCTAGAAAAATGTATCTTTCTGGCCCTGATCACCAGACCTCTACTCTAATAGTGACTGGTAGATTTCATCGCTTTCTTTATAGTTTTGAAATCTCTTAAAGAAGAATGGAGGCAGAGCTAGGAGGTGTAGTGGATAGAGTGCTGGGCCTGAAGTCAAGAAGACCTGAGTTTAAATCTGCCTTTTTAGACACTTTTTTTGGCTGTGTGACCCTGGGCAAGTCATTTAACCTTTGTCTGCCTCAATTTCCTTATCTGCAAAATGGGTATAATAATAGCACATGTCTCCCAGGGTTGTTCTGAGGATCAAATGAGATATTTGTATAACACTTAACACAGTGCATGGCACATAGTGAGTGCTATATCACTGTTAGCTATTATTATTATTGTGTAATTTATCAAATTCAGATTAAGGCCTAATGAAAGATCATCATCTTATTGTATTCTGTCCTAGACTGACCACATATGAAAGTTTGTTTTCAGTTCTTTATTTTAGGAAGGAAATTTATGAGCTAGAGAGTATCTTGGCGACAGTGACTAGGATGGCAAAGTGCTATATATGAAGATTATTTTAAATAATTGGAGATTTTTTTCTGAAGAGGAGAAGACTTGTGAAGATAGGTAAAGTGCTTTGAAATAGTTGAAGGGCTGTCCATTGGAAAAAATATCAAATTTGTTCTGCTTGCCCCCAGGGGGCCAGACTAGCAACAAAGAGGCTTGATGTAAGGGAAGACTTTCTAACAATAAGAGCTATCAAAAGTGGAATGGACTCCCTTGGGAGAAAATGATTTCTCCCTCACTGGAGGCCTTCAGGTGAAGGCTATGTGACTGCCTGTCAGATAGGTATTACCTTGTTCAGATATGGATGGATTGGACTATATGGTCACCAAAAGCCCTTCTAACTCGGAGATTTTGTAAGAAGATTTTGCACCATAAAGAAACGAGTAGATGCATCTGCTTCATCTAGAGCATCTAGATTTAGACTGGGAGGGAACCTTGGACAGATCTTATGACTGGAACGTTTGAAAGGTGACAGCTTTGCAGGTACTTTACTTTTTTACAGACATAAGCCCTCTTCTCCTTACATTTACTAGTTGACTAAATGGAAAATAAAACACAAATTAAACTATTCATTAAAGGTAAAATAGTCTTTCAAAGTAGACTTAGTTGGAGAGTCAGGAGAGTTGGTTCCTGTCCTTGTTCTCTGTGTGTGGACTGACAGTTATAGTTCATGTTCCACTTCAAGACTTGTAAAGGACCCTTGATGAAGTTTAGCAACATTCATTGGACAGACATTTATTTGGAACTTACTGTGTGCGATGCACTAGGCTAGTTGCTATGGTGAATATAGGGGATAAAGCCAGTCTCTGCCCTTATGTAGCTCTCATAGTCAGATAGGGGAGAAGAGACACAAATACAGGAGGGTGTAGGGGAACTTGATTTAGAGTAAGATGAAAAGGGTTTGAATCTTGAATCTGATACCACCTCTGGAACCTTATGCAAGGCTCTTTTACCACTTTAGGCTTTAGTTTCTTATCTATAAAATGATGGGGTTTGAACTAAATTATCACCAAAGTCCCTTCCCTAAAATTCTATGACCTTGACTCTAGCGTAATATATAACCAACTTAACATTTTTTATGATGGAAAGTTACCGAATCAAGTTTTTCTCATACTCTGTTTCTAATCCTGGAATAATTACTCCCTCTTTATAAGCCTGGAATAATTACTCCCTTTTTATGTGAGATTCCTATGACATTGCAGGAGAGGCAGGGAGAATGGTGTTAACAGCTAAGTTGCAAAAAGAAGATCTATTGTTTAAATGCATTTGGAAAGAGCCTTAATTCTTCTTTAAATGAATTTCCAGGTTTCATTTGCTGCAGTCTGGATCTGGTTACAACTTGGGGTTCTTCATCATAACTAGATAGAATTCATAAATTAATAATTTTTAAAAGTGAAATTGCTTAATTCAGGTGGAAGCTCATGGCAGAAAAAAAAAAACAGCCATAGAGAGGGGCATAATGTGGGGTACCAAAAAGCACTGGTCTTTATCATAAAATCTGGACTTAAGAGCTGGCTTAGACACTGTGTAAAGCTACGTGGTGGCTAACTCCATCCCTCTGCCAATGGTTGTTATTTAAGCAGGGTTATCTATCCCAGTGTAAACAAGTATTTGTGGTTACCTCTGTTTCCCAAGAGGTTTTATTGTCTTCAGTGACATGTGCTGTGTGATGTTTATAAACTTTATGTAAGCTGTCATCCTAACAATTTTTCTTTTATGCTACACAAAGGCAGTTTTTAAGAGGGGATTTTTGCCAGTTTTCTAAATTAGATGTAAATTGATGTGCCGACAACTGAATCATCATTACACACTTGTACTATATAAATAAGTTTATTGTTGGCCACCTCTCTGGGCCTCAGTTTCTTCAGCTTAAATGAGGGTCTTAAATGTTGTGATCTCTGAGGTCCATTTCAGCTCTAAATCTATGATTCTGTGTCAGGTGCCAGAGTTTTAAAGATGTTTCAGCCAATATGTCACACTATTAAGACAGAGAAGTTAATTTTAAGAGTTAAAAAAATAAGTGCATGCATTTGATATGAGCCTGTTTTAATTGAAAGGAGACTTCTTTATGTTACAAACTTTATTTTTAATGTAACTTTTTTTTTTTTTTTTTGGGTAAAAACAGGAAATCTGCCTCGGAGACCAAAGTCAGCACCGGTTCATGATCTAAGTAATTCAGATAAAAGACAGGTGAATTTTGTAGTAGCTTAATATTTTAATGCATGTAGATATAAATGAATTGGTGCTGGAATTAACCTCCTTCCCTACCTGTCTTGAAAGTTTAAAAAAAAAGTGGCTAAAGAGATACGTGATTAGGTGGGTAAGTGAATAAAGGATTCTGCTGAGGCTTTTAAAAAATTTAGCTTTAATTAATCTAGCATTCTTTTGAGTTCTTACTATGTTCCAAGTATTGTACTAAGCACTGGGGCAAAGCAAGGCAAAAAATACAAAAGTGGTCCCTACCTTTAAGGAAGTTACATCCTAACGTGGAAGATACCATGGAAATAAATGCCTGCACACAATAAATATAGAGCAAAAGGAAGGTAATTTTAGAGAGGAAGGCTTTGGTGACTAGGGTACTGAGAAGGCCTCCTTGAAAAGCTGGCCTTTGAGCTGAGTCTTGAGAGAAGCCAGGGATGTCAAGAGGTAGAGACAAGGAGGGAGAGCATTCTAAGCACAAGGGATAATAAAGATGGGAGATAGAGCACCATATTTGAGGAACATCAAGCCGATATTGCTAGGCTGTTGAGTGAGGGGGTGGGAGTGGGAGAAGTCAAGTGTGAGAACACTGGAAAGGAAGAAAGGGGTCAGGTATGAAGAGCCTTAAATGCCAAAAAGAGGACTTTAAAGTTAATTTTGGAGGTAATAAAGAGCCGCTGGAGTTTACTGAGCTCCAAGGACATAGTTAAACCTACACCTTTAGCAGCTGAGTGGAGCACGAATTGAAGTGGGGAAGAAACTTGAGACAGGGAGACCAATTACAAGACTGTTGCTATAGTCCAAATGAGAGGTGATGAGGACTTGAACTTAACTTGGTGGCTCTGTGAATGGAGGGAAAGGAATGTATATGAGAGATGTAGGTGCATGATGGTAGAAATGACAAGATTTGTCATCCTACTGGATATGGGGGGTCAGTAAGAATGAGGAGGATACAATGGCTGTGAACCTGGGAAACCAGAACAGTGGTACTTTGAATAGTAATAGCCAAATTCAGAAGGGAGAGGGTTTTGGGGAAAAGAGATGAGTTCTGCTCTGGACATGGTGAATTTGAGATGTCCAGTTTGGAGGTCAAAGACTTGGATATACATATCTGGGAATCCTTTGCATAGAGATAACTAAATGCACTGGAAGTGATGAGGTCACTAAGTGATAATAGCATAGAGACAAACCTCAAAAGTGTTATATGAATATGGTCTGCTATTTGACACTGCTATAATCAGGATTCTTAAAGAACCCCCAAGTATTGCTAACAAATGGGCAACTGAGAAAAATAATTATTTATTGAGGTAGATAAGAAAAGGGGTCAGGGCAGAACCTTGGGAGACATCCGCAGTCAGAGCTGTGACAAGGATGAAGAACTAGCAAAGACAACTGAGAAGAAGTGTTTAGACAGGAGAAGAAACAAGAGAAAGCAGGATCAAGAAAAGCCAAAGAGGATTCAGCAGGAGGTGAACAGTGTCACATGCAGCAAAGAGTTCAAGAAGGATGGGGATTTAGAAATATTGGACAATGGAGAGATGATTGGTAACTTTGTAGAGAGCAGTTTCTGTTGAATGAAGAGGTTGGAAGCCAGGTGGCAGACTTCAGGAGAGTTAGAGGAAAGGAAATGCAGATAGTATAGAAGAGTTCATCAAAAGTTTAACAGAGAAGGGAAAAAGGGTTAGTTAGCTGGGATGATAGGGTCATGTGAGGGTTTTTTGAGGACAGAGGAGACATCAGCATGTTTGTAGGCAGAAGTAAGGAGCCAGTAGAGAGGGAAACATTGAAGATTCAAGAACACGAGGATGACAGGATGATCTGCTGGGAGAAGATGGATGAGTACATGGGCTCAAGGGTGAATGTAGAAGGGTTGGCTTTGGCAAGAAAGACCTAATCTTCATCAGAGAGACTTTATGAAGAGGGCAGTGATGTCAAAGGGATGTGAAATGAGGAAGGGAGAAGAGCTCTTGACAGAGGACCCTGTTTGTTTTTTTTTCCCCTTCAGGGAAATGAGGTAAGGATGTGCCATGGGGAAATTAAGGAGAGATAAGGTTTAGAATAGTTAATGGGTTATCAGGTTGTGAACTGATCATAGGACTAGAATGATTACCTTGCTACCATGAAGGCTCTGTTGAGGGTAGAGAACATAAATTTGTAGTGAACTTAGTCATCTGTATAGTATTTTTTGACTTTTTCCAGCTCCATTCAGTAGTACAAGGATAGTAGCAAAGGAGGCAGAAGGGGAGTGTAATCCAAGGTTGGGGTTTTGCAAGGCATGACTGGTGATAGAGAAAGATGGAATGATAAAAGAGTATGACCAAATAAAGGAATTTCAGAGTTCCTCCACATAGAAATAGAACATTGATGGATGATGGGAGGAATGAACATGTGGCACTCTCTTCATGCAGCCAGGATGGAATGGAGGAGTCAGTCAAGGGAAATGAGCATACTGAGGAACTAGCAAGTTAAGAGTATTTAAGGAAACATCAGTAGATAAGGTGAAGTGTCCTAAGATGATGGCAGGAGTTGGGGGTGGATAGGAAGACAGTGTGCCAGGCACTGAACTCAGTGAGAAGGAAGAAAGGACGACCTGGGGGTCAGTAGATATTGGCCACCAGGATTTGTATTGGGTGATAAATTTGGATAGTCATTCAATAAATATTTATTTAGTGTCTATTCTGTGCGGCTACTTTGCTAATGTGAGTAGTACAAAGAAAGGCAAAAGAAATGCCCTGCTCTCAAGAATCTCATAGTCTAATTGAGGAGATGGCACACAAACAGCTATGTACTGACATGCTATTTACAGGATAAACTGGAGATAATCAACAGAGAGAAAGCACTAGAATTAAGGAGGATTGGAATGGCATTCTGTTGAAGGTAAGAATTTAGTTGGATTTGAAGGAAGCCAGAAGGTAGACATGAGGAGGGAGCATTCTGTGCATGAGGAACAGTTGTTGAAAATGCACAGAATTGGGAGGGGAATTGCAAGGTGTCCAGGGTCACTGGACCACAGAATACATGGGGGTGGGGTGTGTTGGGGTGGTAAGTGTAAAATGTAAGAACATTGGAAAAGTAGGGCTAGGTTATAAAGGACTCTAAACACCAAACAAGATTTTATATTTAATCTGGAGGTGGATACGTAAACCACACAGGATTTACAACCATTCCAGTTGATGGTTGTAAATTCTGGAAGTGGGAATGGCAGCGAATATTCAGGCTTCCCCAACATGAAGTGTGAGAAAAAGCACAGCTAATGTTGCAAAGGGTGGCCAGGGATGCAGTGTCATCAGGAGGCAACTCAGTGAGTTTCAAAAGATGGGAGGAGTGAGAAGGAGAAGGTTAAAGGAAGTTAAATTATGGAACAGGTATTCCAGGGGGCACAGTGGAAGGGTTGGGCAGATTTATAGTGGGATGTCGAAGGAATAGGGTTGAGGTAGATGGGAATAAGAGAAAGAATAGTTGGAGTAGGAGAAATGGTTTTGTTCAGCAACTGTGAGGTCAGTATCATGGGAGACAGGGAGAACAAAATAGGTTGGAAGTGTGCTAACCCTTAAGAAGTAAGTCCAGGGTGAGTGTAAGTGGATGGGGAAAGGGCCCTTGAGGGAGGCAGACAGATGTTTCAGGGTTGTCCTGGGAGGCTGTGGAAGAAGCTATAGGTGGCACGAGGGAGCTTGGTCAAAAGGTGTTGGTGTGAGGTGGGTCAGGGGCTGGAGTTGAAGTTGATTCAAGAGCCCCTCTGGTAGCTGGAAAGCTTTGACATAGAATACACTTTGCCTTTGCAGCACTGGCTTTGGGCTTATTTTTAACATGATGCTATTGAGAAGTCTGTGACACACAAAAAAGTTAATTAAGTAGTTAAATATATCTGGTGCTTAGAACCTAATATGTATCATTTTATAGTAAACCTATTTAATTTTAATCTGTAAAGTACCTCAGTTTTTTTGGGGGCTTGGCATAATGTATCATTTAATGTGATATGGCAGCTACCTAATGCAGTGAATAAGAGCACACTGGATTTGGAATTGGTTAAGACCCAAGTTCAAATCTAGCCTCAGAGACACTTTGTAGCTGTGTGACCCTGGGCAAGTTGTTTAATCTGTCTCAGTTTCTTCAACTATAAAATGAAGATGTCAGTACCTACATCCCAGAAAAGATCAAATGGGATATGTATAAAGTACTTAGGGTGCCTGGCATACAGTGGTTGGAGGGGGTGTGTGTGTATGCCTATTCCCTTCCTATGTGATACTTTATATATTCTTTAGATTACTGACACAAAGTCTTATTTTCTTTCTTTTTCTTAGCTCATACCCAATGAAATATTTGAACCTCTCATATGCCCTGTTCCTGATTCTAAAGTAGAAGAAGAAATTCATGGAGAAATTACTCATCCTGATGGAAAGGTAAGGCTATGAAAATCACAATTTTCTTAAAATTCGGAATCCCTATCTGCTGAAGAAAAATGAGAACAAATTACTATATTTACTTCCATCATCTCTCCTTAGTAGGCTGCTAAAATTGTCAGCAGGAGATTGTTTAAAGATTTGGGGAAAGGAAGAGTAGAGATACCTCTGCGAATAAAACATTATTAAGTGCTATGCACAGCTCTTCAACTCCTCTTAATGAAAATTGAAACATGAGTCTCAGTGACGGTAAAACAATGTGATTGCAATTTAAGAGGGGCAATTTGTCAAATAATCTGAGTTAGAAAGGATCTTAGAGATAGATCTAGTCTTCCATCCAAAGCAGAAATACTATCTATAATATCTCTAACAAGTAATCATATAGCATCTCCTCAACCTCTTGAATAGGGAGTTTACCACCTAATAAGGTTCTCCCTGCCCTAGCTGTGTTTCAAAGCTCCTTCTCCTTTAATTTTTTATAAGCATTTGTGCACTGGAGCTATCTCTATAGGATGTCTATTTCCCTCTTACCTTTCAAATGACAACATTCATATGAAAACATTTTAAGAGCTGTATAAACCCAAAGTGAGGATCTGAGTATGAGTTTATATGATCTGCTACCTGAATTCTGCCCCATTGGAAAAACCTTCTTTGAATGTAGTCTTGACAAGACAATCTGCTTTCTGAAGACTAACCTAAGTATGGAGCAGTTCAGCACCAGGAGTTTGGCCTGTTGTTTATATATTTTTTAGTCCTGGCCTTCCACAGTATAAATACAAAATGACCTTCAGTCCTGTGTAACCCCCTTCTGCTTCTGTATTGATGGTGTGGGAACAGAGGACCTATGATGCTAATCAGCTGGCATTTATTAAGCACCTATTATGTACCAGACACTGTACTAGGTATCTGGGAATTCAAAGAAAAATTAACAGCTCCTGTCCTCTAGGATCTTAGAAGTTGGTACTCTTTGATGTGAAATCCTTTTCTAATGACCAACAACTAAGCATAACTAATGAAGGAACTGAATCATATCAACCGTGACATTCTTACTTTAAAACAGAAAAAAGGAAGTTGTAGTTAAGTGGAAGAATGGCGTATGGATTTTTCTTAGAGCAGTGGCACAGTTAGTTTTATCTTGCACCCAAAGAACAAGGAACATAATTTCTTCAAATATTTGATCATCTTGTATGGCAATGCTCATTACTAGTATCAGAAGAAAGGCTGCCATAAAGAAATTGGGCTGTATTTACCAATGTCTGTTGCAGATGATGAAATGGCAGAGAAATTCTACAAAAACTCAAAAAGAGTTTCCAAATTTAATCAGTGTATTTTGTGACTTCAGTGTAAAGATGGGGGAATAGGTGGGAAGGATGAGAAATAGACAGGAAGAGAAAAGTAATATAGCTCTAAGAAAATCTCTCTGGTTTCTTGTGTGTTTTAATCAAAACCTTACACAGAGTAAAGTCCTGTACTGGTATTTCACGAACACTTTCTTCCTACTGGTGATGAACATAATCACCAAATATCACAAAAAATAAAACTGACTTCATTTTAACAGACAGGAAATGGTTTGTTTTCATTGCTGATTCAGCTGTGTACAGCTCAGACCACTGACTAAAATTCATGTTAACTAGAAAAATAGAAATGGGAAAAAAAAGTCATGCAATTGAAATAATTCTATCTTGACCAAGACAAATGATTTTTTGGATAATGAAAAATTGATAATGGAAGGACAAAATGTTAATAGCTTCACACAGATGTTTTACTGCTGTCAATACAAAGACATCAGATAAGCCCCAAATGCCTTGGTCAGCAAACACTTGGTTTACTTTCTAGACTAAGAGAAATATTATCTTGTTTGTAAAGTCTTAAGAAGGATGTTGGAAGATTGAGCACTATCCCAGATAAAGCAGAAAAAAGCAGAGTAGAATCAGTTAGAGAAGGCAAGAAGACCCTACTAAGCAAAGTCATCAAAGGATGAAACTAGAACGGTTGAAATATTAAAAATAAAAGAGCTGCAAAGATTTTCATAACAAGCTTTTTTCATCATCAAGAATGGCAGTCACCATACTTTGACAATATAATCAAATCCTGATGTGTTTACAGAGGTTAAAATGACACTGAGGAGAAAAAAAGACAAGAAAAACAGCTGGATTAGAGCTAACATACATAGAGGTGATCTGTGCTGAAGATGACCAATTGGGATTGATTCACAAGATACATCTAAGATGATGATTGTGAAGGCATAAAAAAATTTCAGACCTCACTGAAGACAGCTCAGATCCTACCTTCTGCACAGGGCCTTTCCTGATCCTTCCCCCTTTCCTGCCGAAACTTTCCTTTTGATATTACCTGTTTATACTGGGTATATCTTGTTCGTACATAGTTGTTTACATGTTGTCTAAGGAGAAATATGAATTTCTTGATGGCAGGGATAGATGTTTTTGCCTTAGCATACTATCACATAGTAAAAGCTTAATAAATGCTGATTGTCTGACCTTATTAATACTAAAAAAAAAAAAATCACATCTTGACCACACAATTCAATGAAAAATGAATGAGATTCTGTTGTGTGGATTTTTTAAAATTGATTTAATGGAGCAAAAATGCCAACTTAAAAGATTCTTTTCCAAAAAGTTATATCCTATTCATACATAAAATTATTCAAGATTCCTTGAAAGATATTTAACAAACGAGAGAACATGGTTTACTACTCTAATTGTCAATATCAGGAAAGCATAAAACACATGCTTGCCCAAGATATATACCACTGTGATGGAAAACCAGCAAATACTCAAATTTTGAAGGACTTCCTTTGGATGGTAAGGTCCTCCAGATGCTGTTGGAGATTAAGGTTGTGCTGATTGCATCAAACCTTGGACCACAACACTGCGTCCTGAAAGAGAGCTGTAATTACTCAACCATTTGGGCTAAACTATATGCCCAGGAAAAACAAAGTGAATTAAAAGATTTTCCTCTTAGCTTCTGACATGCAGTTGGATGGATAACCTAAAGAATTTTTGTCCTACCATGTATAATTGGGAAAGACAAAATAAATGATCAGTGAATTTAGCCCCATGACTAAAGAGGGAAAGAAAATAGGTAGGAAAAATTGCATAGCTTTTCTAATGAGTATTCTCTGTAAATTCTACCATTGTTTTAGGACAAAACACTGAAGCCTCTTAAGACTTAAAAAAATGAGGTATCACACAGAAAATGATGAAGTACAGGATGGATGTAAGCACGCTAAAATAAGTGTTCAGACTAGAGCAACTGAAAGATAGGTTGTCCTTAGAGCAAATTCATGTAACGTAGCTAGATGTTGACTTTGACATATATGAAATTTCCTCACTTATATTGCCCAATACATTTTTCTTCCCTAAGCCTCTCAGAGTACCATCCCTTCCCTTCTAAGAAAAAAAAAAACAAAAACAAACCACCTTATCTTTCCAAACTAGGCAATCTTTTGGAAGTCTAAGTTATATGCAGTGTTTCACAATTGTAGTCCCTTACCTTTGTAAAGAATAGGGAGAGGTGCTTTTTCAAATCTTTTATCTTGGGCTAAGTTTGGTCATTATTTCATTGCATTCATTTAAAAAATTGTTTTGTTTTTTCCATTTACATTGTTATAGTTATTGGGTATATTGTTTCTCTGGTTCTGGTTACTTTATTTTGCATTCCCTAACATATTACTATAATTCCTGTAATTATTCTACCTCTACCAGTTTGGAAGTCATCTTTGGTTTTGTTATCTCTCTAACCTAATTATCTCCCCTTTCTAGTCTTACCTACTAATATTATTATGAACAAAAATTGACTTCTATAAGCAGAGAAAGGCATCCTTTTACTTAAACATCTTTTTAAGATGAAGTGCTTAGGTGGTTGTGGGGGAGCAGGCAGGGGAAAAGCTGCTTGGCCTGTTATTCTAGATAAGACAAGTAGCAGTCTCAAGTCATAGTCAAAGCAATTTTTTAATTTTTCAAAACTATAATAAATATCTATGTGCGTACCACCCCCCTCTAGGGAGGGAGGGGGAAGAAAAGGAAAGTCCTTGTAATACATATAGTCAAGCAAATCCATTCTAGCATTGTCCATGTGCAAAAAAAGTATATCTAAATCTGTACCCAGTCTATCACTTTTATCAGATGCCAATTTCATCATGATGACCAGTATAAATTTACTATTTCTAGAAAGATTCAGAGGTAAACAAAACAAGTAGGAAGTAGTTTAAAAAAGCAAAAAGGGCAAATGATTGCATAGCTTCCTTTTCATACTTTCCGGCCCAACATATATATTTCTAGATATAAAATAGAAAACCTAGCAACAAAATTCTAGCAACATCGTAACCCCATTTATTATGCATACTAGCCAGGGAACCAAACCATGTCCTTTCTGTTCCTGATCCTAAGGTACCAAAGGCTTTCCACGGTTAAGGCAGATACTGGGTTCATTCCAGTATGGCCTTCAGCGTAGTAGAGACCACAAATCACTATACAGAATGAGGGAAAAGTGCATCACTTAGAATTAGAAAGGACATCAGAAGTAATCTGGTGTAACCTGTACCTGAACAGATATAAAACTCATTCTTTTGGGCCTACCCATTACTATTTTGGACAGCTCTGGAAACAGGAAATAATCTGAATCAATGTGGTCCAGTGCTGATACCTTTTTGATACTAGAAGACCTAAGTTTATATAATAGTTTTGTTTACTGTGCGCTCATAACCAAGTCACTTTTGTAAAATTGGATTGGATGATATCCCTGAGGTTCTTTCCAGTTCTATGTCTTATGGTTGAAGAATGATGAGAATTTCAGAGCAGGTGCTGTTTTAATTTTACAATTTTAAAATTTGGATGTTGCCATGATTATCTGTACATGGAATAAAATCTTTTTTTTTTTTTTTAGGTTGAAAAGGTTTTAAAAAGTGGGTGCCATGTTATCTTGTTTCCAAATGGAACTCGGAAAGAAGTGAGTTCAGATGGAAAAACTATCACTATTACTTTTTTCAATGGGGATGTGAAAAAAGTCATGCCAGATGAAAGAGTGGTATGTTTCCATAGAATATATTTTCTACCCCTTTACACCCCCTCCCACATATATACAGAGATCTAAACATTTATATTTGTGTAGACCTATCTATATGTATGTATGTGTGTATACACATAGACATACACAATATGAGCAAATCATATTGATTTTTTTTCCTTTACAGATTTACTACTATGCAGCTACTCAGACTACTCATACCACTTATCCAGAGGGACTGGAGGTTTTACATTTCTCAAGTGGACAAATAGGTGAAAATTGTGACTCTTCTTCAGTTCCTTCTCTACTCTTAATCTCCTTTCCAACATAATTCAAAATGAGAATGAAGGTTGATGTTATACACTCACTCACACTCTGTCTCTCTCTCTATATATATTTTTAAACTAGAAAAGCATTTTCCAGATGGAAGAAAAGAAATTACATTTCCCGACCAGTCCATTAAAAATCTATTTGAAGATGGAAGAGAAGAGAGCATTTTCCCAGATGGTACTATTGTTCGAGTACAACAGTAAGACTTGCTTAAATCTAGTAATAGTTTAAAAATTACATTCTGACTTTTCTTACTACACAATTTCACTCCCATTCCATCAAAAACAAATTTGCAAATCTGTATCGAGTGTCAGATGTTGAGTCATAGTTAAGATACATTGTAAATAGATAGTACCTTTCCTGTACCAGATTTATAGTTGATAATCTAATTGAAAAACTACATATATATCATACCCCAGTATTCAAATAAATATTCTCTATAAACAGTGCATGAGCATGTGAGACTGTAGAAAGTAATGATGACCTCCAATCAGAGAATGCTTCCCAACAGCATAGTTATTTTAGTTGGATATTAGGTAGGAGTGAACATGGTTTAGCAGGGAGGCTTAGAGGTAGGTATTAGTAAGTTGGCCTAGGAAAGGGATTTGTGTGTATACTGACAGGATGGCCTAATAACTGGCATGATTAGAATTTGATGTGATAAATTATAGGTACTAATGGGGCAGCTAGGTGGCGCAGTGGATAGAGCACTGGCCCTGAGGTCAGGAGGACCTGAGTTCAAATCCGGTCTTAGACCAAACACTTGACACTCACTAGCTGTGTGACCCTGGGCAAGTCACTTAAACCCAATTGCCTTTAAAAAAAAATTATAGGTACTATTGTAGTTTTGTAGTAGGTATGGACTAGATAGATGCATAAATGTCATGAAGACCACAGTAGGTGCATGTGGTAATCAAAGTGTGAGATTAGAAGAAAGGTCTGTACAGAGATGATCAAAACTAAAAGGAAGGATCAGTTATTTCTACAGTTTAAAAAAAATAGAATTTATTAAGTAGGTAGAGGAGATAAAGGGCACAGAGCAGTTTTTTTCTTTTTATTTTAGACAAATGCTAAAACAAATAAGAAAAAGAAGCATTGTAAACTAAAATATAAAATAAAAAAATGTCACGTGCACAGCAGAACACAGAAGATTCAAATTATATAGCGATAACTTTTCATTTCAAAAAAGCCTATATATTAAATACCATTGAAAGCTGTCCATCTTTGCTTCCTTTTGTTTTCTTTTGTTCTCTGCTGTATACTTTTTACCCCCTTCCTATATTTATATATAGGTATTGATATACACATATACTTACACATACTTACACACACACACACTTTCCCTAAGAGATTCTATTCTTAATCTGTTTGTGCATATCTGTTTTTCATCTCTCTCACAACTCCTCTACTTTACTTCTATCTGCTACCTTACACTCCTATTGCTTAAAACCTACCCCCACTCCAGCAATCCCTCCCATATTCTCATTCCCCTAAATCTAAACCCCATTCTATATCCCCCTTTTAACCTATTCCCACACCCTCTCCTCTAAAGAGCCCTCCTTTATCCTTTCCCCCCCTCCCCTTAATTTCTTTCTTTCTAAATTTAGATGACTTTTATACTCTTCTAAATGTATATGTATTTTCCCCTCTTAAACCCATTCCTGATGAGAGTAGGTTTCCAGAACTAACTAATTCTTCTGTATTGGTTCTTCCTCTTGCGCTTTATTTGTAAAAGATAATTACTCTTTTAGCTGTACTTGAATGGTTTTACTTTTTGAAGTCATATCATATTCAGGTATACCCCAATCTTCCTTTTAAGTTATCTTAGACACAGATTTTACATTTTTCATACCTAAAAGATAAACATTCTATCCTTATTTAGTCCTTTGTAATTGGTCATTGGTTATGTACCTTATATTTCTCTTGGCTCTTGTATGTTAAATTTTCTACTGAGTTCAGGGTGGTGTTTTTTTTTTTTTTTTTTTTTGTTAAAACAAAGACCTGAAAGTTTGAGAATTTATCAAATGTCCATTTTTTTTTCTCATTCAGAATTATGCTTGGCTTTGCTGGGTATGATATTTTTGGCCATAAACCCAGTTCTTTTGCTTTTTGACATATAGTGTTCTAAGACCTGCGATCTTTTAGCGTCACCACTGCTAGGTCTTGTCTCTTTCAGGTGGTGATCAGTGGATTTTTTTTTTTTCTATTTCCACTTTTCCCTCTTGTTCTAATGCTTCAGGACAATTTTTAAAAATTATTTCTTGTATTATTTTATCAAGATTCTCTTTCTGATCAGAACCTTTAGGTAGTCCAATTATTGTTTTCTCTTTTTGATCTGTTCTCTAGATCTGTTGTTTTTCTTATGAGATGTTTCACATTCTCTTCCATGTTTTCATTCTTTTATATTGTTTTTTAATTTATTCATCTCTTATAACTTAATTGGCATTCCCTTGCCCAATTCTGATTTTCAAGGACTCATTTTCTTCAAGATTCTGGATCTCCCTTTCTAATTGGTTGACTTTCTTTTTATAATCTTGTTTTTCTTTTATTATTATTTTTCTTTTTAGTTTTTCCCCAGTCTCTCTCATTTGATTTTTAAAGTCTTTAAGTTCTTCAGTGAGTTCTTTTTGGGCAGGTGACCATTTGACATTACTCTTTGGGATAAAAGAGGGTTTCTTTGCTTCAGTATCCTCCTCTGAAGATGAACCCTGATCTTCTCTATTCCCATAGTAGCACTCTCTGGTTGGATTCTTTCTCCTTTGCATGTGCATTTTTTTGTAGTAATTTAGTTTTTATAATCACCTCTAGTCCTGAGGTATGGGGGATGGTGCCTCTAATCCTCTTCAGTTCACCCTTCTATCCTTGAACTCAAACCAAGACCTCCAGCCTCCTGTAAGTGCCCACAGCAGAGGCATCCGCACCCCACTGCTTCTGCACTCACTGGGCATGTGCTGGTTCCTTCTCACCTGGCTACTCTCCACAGCATAGCTTGGTCTGGTGTTCCTTGTGAGAAGAGGTTCCCTTGATCTTCTCCAGGTCAGATGCCCAACTCCCCTCATTGTCCCAGGGTTCTTGTGGCTGGAGCCAAGGCAGCCTGCCAAACCAGCTAACTCCAGGGCTTGCCACTTGTTGAAGGGGACCCTAGCCTGGAGGTATTTTACTCTTCACAGGGAGGAAATCTTGTCCAGCATGTTTCTTCAGATCTTCTCCAATTGTCCCAGAAGGACCCCTCTTCTGCCCCAACTCTTATTTGTTTTCATGGCTCTGTGTTCACCCAGAGGTGCTATTTTATCTCTTATGTAGGAAAATCTTGAGAGCTTGAAATTTTCTGACCTACTCCACCATCTTCCCAGAATTTTCTCCCACAGAGCAGTTTTAAGGCTTGAGCCTAGTAGAACCTGGGAGGTTTTGATGAAGGAGATGTGGTAAATAAATTTATTTTGGTGCCTTTTTTTTTTTTTTTTTTGGCAATTGGGGTTAAATGACTTGCCTAGGGTCAGATAGCTAGTAAATGTCAAGTGTCTGGTCTGGAGGCCAGATTTGAACTCAAGTCCTCCTGATTTCAGAGCCGGTGCTCTATCCACTGTGCTATCTAGCTGCCCGAAGTGAATAAATTTATTTTAACACATTCAGTTTCAGTGGGGCATTAAAGCACAGAGGCAAAGGAGCTGTAACATTAGGGCTAGAGCTAAATAGTGGGAAATTGTTCACAGCTGATAACTGAAACAGTGAAAATAGATGTATGCAAGGTGTGTAGAGGGAGGAGAAGACTGAATTTTGACTGGGTATTGGGCGAGGGGGACTAAGAGGAATCATCCATTGAAGGCAAAGATAGAGAAAAAAATTGGGAGCTATTATTATTGGTTTGAAGTAGTGACAGCTTCTATACATAATGGGAAGAGAAGTGTTACTAAATTCATGATTTTTTTTAAAACAGAGATGGCAACAAAATCATAGAATTTAACAATGGCCAAAGAGAACTTCACACTCCCCAGTTCAAGAGGCGAGAATATCCAGATGGCACTGTTAAGACTGTATATTCTAATGGCCACCAAGAAACAAAGTATATATCTGGTCGAGTAAGAATTAAAGATAAGGATGGTAATGTTCTGATGGACACCAAGTTGTAGCAAACTGTTTCTTAATCATGAAGTGATATATGGTGCTTTGCCAACGAATTTCCATTTTTTCTTTTAAAAATGTGTATTTCTGTAAATTCTGCAGCAGCTTGTTAATCTGTACATAGTGTATAAAATGAAAAGTTGTGATGTTTTCAGTTATCTAAAATAAAGTTTGAATTTGATAGCTTGTCCTACCTGTGCTTTGATATTTTAATACAAAATGATGAAATGGAAGACAAAAAACACAACCATGAAAATTAAACCAGCTAGCAGAAGATAAAATTCATATAACTGACTTTTTTCCTAAATGAAAATTCTTGGGCTAGATTTTTAAATTGAAATAAGTATTGGCAATACACTAACTTAAACACAATGGCAACAGAACAAATGAAGTAATTATGTGGAAATCAGTCTCTTGGTAACTGCAAGCATGTGGAATAGGGCTGAGGCTAGCAAGTTTTTATTTTAAAAAGTATAGAACAATGAAAATGATCAAGAGATAAAAATTAGGCTATTTATAAGGGATTAACTTGACTAGCTGTGTTCTCATAGGCTGAAGACTGTTATCAAATAAAAAGGATGATTTTAAAAATTCTGAGTCCTAGTCTGCCTTGTACCTTTTAAGTTTGCAATAAGGAGTCAACCATGGGGATACTCTATTATGTATTCTGAAATAACTGCTCTTTTTACATTGCTTCACATTTTACAAAGGGCTTTCCCCATAACATATATTTGAAGGAGATAGTACAATTATCATCATAATGATTTTACTGATCAGGAACCTAAGGTTGAAAGTTTGAGTTGCCCATGGTCATGTAATTTTTAAACTGAAATCTGAACTCTGGTCTCTTAGAATCCTTTACTTCCGTCAAAGCTCCTTGATAGCTGAGGCTCTTTTCATTTTTGTCCTTGGATACCTACTCCAGTGTCCTGCATGTAGGGGGCACTTAAATGCTTATTTGACTAGATCTCTACAACATCACCTCACACAGGAAACCACTTTCAAAGATATCAGAGAAAGGATAAGTCAAGGCTCATGAATCTAAATAGCAAACCTGAGAAGGGCTACTTAAGAACTAAATGCTGAACGGTTAGGGATAGGAAACTCTCATGTGAAGACACTCCCTTCTAATCCAGGCAGGTTGGCACAGGAAGGATGTTCCCAAGAGCACAAAGAAGTTACTTGTCTTTCCCAGGGTCAAAGCCACTCTTCTGGCTCTACCAGACTATCCAAGGGACTTGTAACTTATCCTGTTTTGTAATACCTTGAATGATAGCACAAGTGCAATCTTGGAAGGGACAATGACAAGCCGGAGTATTTCCAACAGCGGACAATCTTTTGGTGATGGGAACCCAAACCATGTCAGATGAGAATAAAAAAAATTAGGTGAAAGTTTGAAGACCTTTTTTTAAAGGGTAGGGATGATGGCTATTTGATTGTTTTGGGGGGCAGGAAGAACAGAAACAGGACCAATAGACAGATTTCAGTTCACAGTAGTGACTGCAATCCTAAAACAGACTAGCCTACCCCAGGAGGTAATGAATGTTTCATTACTTAAGATACTCATATAACTACGGTGAATAAATGAGATTTTATTTCAATAGTTACTAAAACTGAAGAAAAGTTATCCCACTTACCTGCTTATGTTTTGACTGATTTAAAAAAGCATGGGCAAAAACTTCCACTTTTTATTTTCCTAACCAACATATGGCTAGCATCTGGCTGACAAATATTATGTATGAATTAACTTTACGATGATTTCAAATAATTTTTGAAAGTTGACAATTACTATTACATTTTTTTTACACAGTTGAAAGCCTACCATAAATACAAGAAAGGAAGTTTTTCCAACATAAGATTTTATGTCAATATACATGCTGAAATAAAAACTGATAAACCAGGAAAGTTTCTGAAGACTCATAACATTTATTAAGTATATTCTTTAGTAATTTTGAAAAGAACTGCTACAATCCAACACAGAAGACAGTACATGAGAATTATCGTGTTGAAAAACTAAACAAAAATAAGCCTGAACTACTCTAAACAGAACTAAAATGTTTCTTCTGGGCTGCCACATGTGCTCAGCAAGATACAGAATATACCTGAAAAACAAAAGCTCTAGTATAATTGGACATCTACATTTTAAAGCCTAGATTTGTGAATGTTTCTTGATCTAGACTTTTATTTATATGACTAATTATAAAATAACATAAGATTCTCAAAGTACTGTAATGAAGCTTTGTGGAATAGCTTAGACTGAAATTAGCTTTTACTTTTAATGGCTGAACATTATTCTTGCTAACATTTCTGAATTATTGTAAATATCCAATTCACATAGAGTTTAAAAAAATAAAACTTTAGTGTGTACACACAACTCTGGATTCTCTCAGATGCTTAGACTTGTTCAATTGCTTGTAATGTGGAAAAAAAGTCTTAATGAGGATAAAACCCCGGTTTCAAATTCTATCTCTGAAACTACCTTAATGTGACCACAGGCAAGTCTTTTAACCTCTTTGGGCCTATTTCCCAATTGATGACCACTAATATTCATTCCTGTTCTAATATTCTAAGTTTATACACAAACAGATGACAACTAAACAAGTCAATTACTACATGTACAACATATATTTTCACATGTACATGTGCACATAAACATAATATAATCTAGTCCACTCAACTAAAATTTCTCCCTAAATACGATTATCAGTTTGGTTCTAGTAAGTCCTTGTGTAGGTACAGAAACTAGCCTACACAGCTGCTGAAAGCTACTGGTACATGCTTCTCCTGGTTCTGTAATAACTGTAAATATTCTCAGAAAAAGTATCTAGAGATGTAGGAGCTCTTTGGTACTGGTGCTACCTTTTACAAGATAAAGGGAAGATAGGAAAGGCATCCAAGAGAAGATGGGAATTTCTCACTAAACTCATTTGCCATTTCTGTGAGGAAACAAGGGAAAATCATATGATATATGGTATTGATGTCCGTTAGTAATCCTAAGTTGTGCTAGCTAGAAAGGTCAGACAGCATTATGTATACTTACGTCATTCATCTAAATCTGCAAGTCCCATTTCTATCAATGACATATGAACTGGATATTGTTCATCTTCATATAAAGTCACTATATATTCCGGTGACTGAGTCTAAAACAAAAGTAGAGTTTGTCAAATAAGTTCATCGACTTCATCCCTTCCTCTTTATTCTATCCTAAGCTATTCACTATATGTACAACAGCCTTGTTATCCCATTCTGCCATCATTCTTTAAATGCTCAAGCTAAATCCTGCTTCACTCACAAAACCTTGGACAGAATCAACACTGATGCCAACATTCTATATGAATGTTACTGTAAGTAATGCCTGATGTGCTAATCTCTCTATGTGTGTATATATATGTGTATATAGATGAACAGTATCTACATACACATATAAATGTATTCAGATACATTTACAACCAGATACTTCAATTAAATTATCTTTGAGAAGCACTGTCCTTAACAGGCCTACTCTGTACTTCAAAGAATGTCACAGCTGTCACATACGTAGTGGAAACAAACATTTGCTGAATATAAAAGCATTACGTTTAAAATAAACCAATTTCTCCCTGTCATATCTCCTAAGTTTTATGTTTCAAAGGAACTATGGGCATTTACCTTAATAAAAGCAATCAGAGATTATTCTTATTTGTAATTACTGATACTGTTTATTCTTTTAAGATTTCAAAATTCAGATCATAATATTTAAGAATAAATTTCAAGTTTGGATAACTTAAACAAGACTGTCACATGATTTCTGATAAATCTTAAAATTAAGTTTCTAGATCAATATACTTTTATGTGCTTTATCAGTGGTGTCAAATTCAAATAGTAAGGGATTCCTGTGATCTGTATACTGACTCAGAAAACCGCAAATTAATGTTATCTATGTAGTATCATATCTTTATTTATTTTGTTAAACATTTCCCAATTACATTTAAATCTAGTTCCAGCCACAGGAGTTTGACACCTCTGTGCTATATAATTATGAAAAAGACAACTAAGATAAGATAATTCAATGATACCAAATTACGATGAAAAATTCTGAACTCTTGTTTTCCTGCTAATTAGAATAAAAATTTACCAAAGAAAAAGCATAAAGCTGTTTTCCTTGAAGACAGTCTATCATAGCCCACATGGCTTCCATGCTCCACTTGGGGCAATATGGAATTCTTGTCTTTTCTGAATCTTTTAATGGAGGTTTAAATCCAGCCAAAAGAACTTTTACAGCCCGAGCAGGATATTTCATAAGGTGGAGAGGAATCTGACGTAGTCTGAAACAGAAGAAACGTTAAAACATACAGCATGTAATGATTTAACGCTTTAAAAAATTGAAAAGAATTATGAACAACTCAAAGACATTCTTGTAGAAAGGAAGATGATGCCCTTAACTAATTATTGCTAAACATAATTATATTGAATTTACCTGCTTGTTGGCAATTTTTCAGTTGATCCATAGTCAACAAATTGTACCAAGATAGCAAGGGGATCAAATTCTTTGATGGAAAGAATCTTTGCTCGATACCATAAACCATCATTATATTCTGCAAGACAAGGCATTTCTGGAGAGAGAAGAAAAAGGAAATTATAATATAAACCTAACATTTTCACTATCTAATAAATATAAAAGACCTTTATATATGAGTCTCGATTTCTGTCATTTCCAGAAATAAACTGCCACTTTTCTAATGCCCTTTTAAAGTTTGAACAGTGAATGTTTAGGCCCAGATAAAACCTATGGAAATGATAATGATCATAATAATGATGACAGCAACTAACATTTACATAGCTCTCATTCTAAGGTAGGCTGGCACTATGTGAGCATAGCTTTCCTATTCCCATGCATTCTACTTTTTGTGTTTCTCAAGTGCCACAGAAAGCAGCAGTCCTTTGACTACAGGACAGACATTTATCTCCGGACTAGCTCCATCCTCTGTCCAATTTCTCTGGAGGAGAACAGAGCTGTAAGGGCTGGTTGCCTGTAGGTTTTACCGTCCTGGCAGCTTTATAAGCCAAATATGTTATACTTTCTCTTCCATCATCTTCCATGACTGTGATGCCTTGGTGTGATACCGGGTTCTTAAAGCAGAGCATAAGCTCTATTGGGTCCCCACCAAATTGGAAAGATTGTGAGAATAGGACAAGACTAAATCACGTCATTTATCTGAGGACCAGTCTAACTATATGCAGGGACAGTAATTTCCAGGCTGGCTTCAAAAGTTGATTAATCTGGGGGCAGATTCTCTCAAAGACTGTGATCTGCATCTGGGGAAGGAGCATCCATACTGATTAAATCACAGATCCTTGAAATACTTAAGATCTTTCTCATCAATATTTAACAAGCTCCATGTTTACCAGATCTATACTTCCAAATAATTTTTTCATTACATAATTATAAAATTTGATTTATCTACCATCTGTCAAAGTTTTTTCCAATGTCACAAATTTATTATCAAAATAAGTATTTCATTCACTGAATAGGAGTGTTGGGAAAAATTATATGCCAAACCTTACTCCAGCCTATTCACTTGGCAATAATCTGGTCTCCACCCAATCTCAAACTAAAATGTAGCTTCTTCACCTATTACCTCTTTATTAACATGCTATATGTGGCTAGAGTACTGGACCCAAGGGCAGAAAGACTTGGGTTCAAATCCCCCTGAATGTTGCATAACCAGAGGTCACTTCTCTTTGAACCCCATTTATTCTTCCCTAGATGAAGATGAGAGAACTAGCAGCACCTCTTCAGTAGTTAGGGTAGGTGGAACACTTTAACACTGGCTGGGTTCTCTGTGAGGAACTTAGGAAAGGATAGGGACAAAAGGCAAACAGGGTTAATCGGCAGGGCTGGGACATCTAGTACTGAAGGGAACCTCTGAATCAATGATATCAGATCTACTGGAGTAGCCGCTTCACAGTATTGTTTTAAGGTTTAAAAAAGATGACGTACATAATGTGCTTTCTGCACACGGGGCAAAAATTTACTTGGCTTGGTGCACGGATGTAGCCAATGTAGTGTCTAAAGTATGACCGCCTCCTATGTGTGGTTGAGGGAGTGAGTTGAGGACATTGGGAACTAGAAAATTAGTGTCTGAAGGGAACAGAAGTTGAGGTGGAGAAGACTAAGGTAAGTACTAAACATTTGAGTGAAGAGAAAGGACCAACTTGAGAGTTCCACAAATGATGACATCAAGGATTTGGACAGAAGAGATGAACTTTATCATCAGTCAGCAACTGTCCTTCTCAAGTCCATACATCTCTTTGTATAGAGTTACCCTTTCCCTTTCTACCACTCTTATGGTATCACATGCTGCCCTGAAATGCAGTTGATTATACTACAGAAATGAGTTGCTAAGAAAGACTATAAGACCAGTGAACATTATATTTAAAAGAGATATTTCTGAAGCAGTTTAACTTTAGTCCTATTTAGAGTAGTACAGATTTATTATACTTAGGAATTCTAGAATTATTAACATATGCCTTCTAATCACCATCAGGTCATATCTGAAGCATTTTCAATTTGATAGAGCCTAGTAAAATTATACCCCCCCCCCCCCAGCAAAGCTTTCAAGAGCCAGGATTGCCATCATCTTATAGCAAGGCATCAGAGTAGGATTTTATTGTGGCAGCTCAATAATGTCCTGTATATATCTGATTATTGAGGATCCGCCTAGCAAAGTTTAGAAACTCATTACTAAGTTGGCCTCTGGGTGATTTTTTTTTTTTGGTGGGGGAGAGGCTGCAAAAATAGCTTTCAAAGACTATTTAGTAAGTTGTAGAGAGGTTGCAATAAGAATCTGTGAAGGAAGCACCCTTATCAGAAAAATTAAGATCTCTGATTAAAGATTCAATTTAATAAGTCTATCATTATTTCATATGCCAATCTACTAACATTTAATTTTCTGTTCCCATGTTCCAGGGTTTTAGTGATAAACACAAGTTAAAAAAGGTAAAATAATGAAAAAGTAAATAAAGTTAGATCAAAGCTAGTTTATATGAGTCTCGATTTCTATCATTTCCAGAAATAAACTGCCACTTTTCCAATGCCCTTTTAAAGTCTGAACAGTGAATGTTTAGGCCCAGATAAAACCTATGGAAATGATAATGATCATAATAATGATGACCGCAACTAACATTTACATAGCTCTCATTCTAAGGTAGGCTGGCACTATGTGAGCATAGCTTTCCTATTTCCATGCATTCTACTTTAAACCAGGATACACCTTTCTCACTCTTAAAAGTATTTTCTGATAATTTGTATGAGAAATAGTAGAGATACCACTTTCATTTACCACTTGTGGTTCTCCATAGTAGCAAAAAGTAAGTTCAATGAAAAGAGAACCACAATAACTTTTCCACCCCCAAAATGAATTCACATGTGTAAAATTGCTTTGCAAAACCTTTAAGTGCTGTATCAATGCTAGCTATTATATATATGAACATGTAAACATATAAAACTATACAAATGCAAATAAAAACTCTAAAACATAGTTGAACTCAAGATTAAATTCAATGATCAATATAATTCCTAGAGATGATAAAATATACTTCCCTTCTCCCTCTAAGAGAGCTGGAGGACAGTAGATACAGAATATTGCGTATTAATCAGTTTTAATTTTCTTTTTTAAAAGGGAGTGTTCTACAAGAATTGGGGTACATATCAGGAAATGACCATATAAAAACAAAAAGGTATCAATAACAATATGGCATCTTCAATGAAGGTGAAAATACACAATATATTTTCTACTAAGGAAAATAGTTTATATTAAAAAAAGTGTAATAAAATTGCTGATTTAAAGAAATTATTTTTTCCAAAACAAACATAAAACCAAAGACCCCACAAATATTTAAAAAATAGCATGTCAAAGTTACATTAAGAATAAAAATATAATGAAATTTCTCTGTATTTGAAAGAATAACAAAAAATACCTGATCTAAAATCTGTCAATGATGGGAGAGAATCCACATTCTGATTACAGCTCTGTAGTACTTCATCTAGGCACTTTGGTTCAAACTCCCAGCTAACTTCAGTATCAACTGTGTCATTTTGATGGTTGAAGTTTTCTCTTAGATCAAGGCAGATATATACCTAGGCCAAAAGAATAAAAGGGTAATATCTTTAAGTTTTGCTATTTTTGCAGTATTTCTTACATAACTGGCAAAAGAATACATAGGAATTGGTAACAGTTATGACTAGGATACTCCTTGGTACTTTTGCTCTGATACCTTATCCACTTACTGACCCCTTAATGTAGGTGTTCCTCGGGAGTCTTTTTCTTTTCTTTCTTTTTTTGGCCACATTCTTCCTTGGTAAGCTCTTAAAGAATCTTAGATCTTGAGGGCCATCTAGCTCAATCAATATCTGAATCAGAATCTCATTCACAACATAATCTTTCAACCTTTGCTTGAAAATCATCAGTGAAGAGGAGGGAAACCTTCACTGGGATAGTTTTAATTGCTAGCAAAAGTTTCCTTATATCAAGCCTAAATCTGTCTCTCTGCAATGTTCAAAGATTGTTTCTAACTACTCTCTCTGAGACCAGCCAGAAGGAGCCCTAATCCTTTCTTTCATTTGACAGCCTACATATGCTTTTCTCCAAATTGTTGATAAAAATGTTAAACAAGTCAGACTTTCGCACAGATTCCTCAAATAGTTCACTAGAGGCTTCCTTTTAAATCGAAGGTGACATTGATAATTACTAATTACTCTTTGGACAGTCAACTTAATCAGTTTTGAATCCAAAAAAACTATTTTATGGCTTACTTTCCTCTAAGAATAGCATGGACAAGATCATGGAGACTCTGTCAAATGATTTGCTAAAATACATGTAAACTAAATCGATAGAATTCCTTTGAACTAACCATTGAGCAACTGTCCAAAAAGAAAAAAAAAGTGGAGGAAGGAATGAGTTTAGATGTAGCTCCATAAGACAGAGTGTTGAGTTCCAAAGGCAATAATCTCTACTCTTCTCCTCCAATTCACTGTCTATTTATAGTGTCTGTCCAAGACCTATATATGGTGGAAAATTCCTTCAATCATATCAATGTTATAATTGGGATAACAATGTTCTTCAACCACTGGGTTTTCCTAAGAGGATGATTTGTTTGGAGTGGTTATGGATTTCCTCTAGAGTCTCTGCAGTGTTCTAGGGCTTGATGCAATCATTATAAATGTCATCTGTAAACAGGACCATCAGAACCTTCATCACCTATAAGGAAACCATCCTAGATTGGGATTGTGCTGGGATCTGCTCTACAAAAGTGGTGAACCATTTAGGCAAGAATATCCCTGCATTAGGCCTTGTTTGATATTAATCAAAAGATCATCTATTTCAGATGGGACTGATGGGACTTTGGGGGTCATCACATCCAAACCCCTTATTTCACAGGTAAAGAAACTGAAGTCTAGAGAGGGCATATGACTCACCTAGAAGCACGAAGTATGTGACTAAGAAAGAACATTTACGGAACACCCACTCTGTGCCAGCCTGGTGCTCAGTGCTGGCTTTTTTTTTTTTTTTTTGGTGAGGCAATCAGGGTTAAGTGACTTGCCCAGGGTCATACAGCTAGGAAGTGTCAAGTGTCTGTAGGCCACATTTGAACTCAGGTCCTCCTGACTCCAAGGCTGGAGCTCTATCCACTGCACCACCTAACCGCCCCTCAGTGCTGGCTTTAACAAGCCAGGGAGGCAGCTACAGTTGAGATAAGAGCAGGCTGGACAAAGGGCTGAAAGTGGAAAGGGAGCTTAGCTATCTCATGATATGTAGTTCAGGCTGGAGGCAGGATTTGAATTCAGACCCTCATATTACAAGTCCAGTGCTCTATTAACTCTATCACCTAGATAAGCCTAATGATCCTAAAGTAGTACAAGATTCTTTTCTCTTGTTATATTGTTCAAAGAATTTTATTTTAACATATGCATGAGAAATTAAGACAACTCTAAGGTACCACTTCACATCAGATTGGCTAATATGACAGAAAAAGAAAACGACAAACATTGGAGGGGATGTGGGAAAATAGGGACACTAATACAATTCTGGTGGAGTTGTAAACTGATCCAACCATTTTGGAGAGCAATTTGGAACTATGCCCAAAGTGCTATAAAATTGTGTGTAACCTTGACCCAGTAATAACACTATTAGGTCTGTATCCCAAAAAGATTAAAAAAGAAAAAAGGAAACGGACCTATGATTACAAAAATATTTATGGTAACTCTTCCTGTGGTGGCAAAGAATTGGAAATTGAGGGGATGCCCATCAACTGGGGAATGGCTGAACAACTTATGGTATATGATTGTGATGAAATACTATTGTGCACTAAGAAATGACTAGCAGGATGCTTTCAGAAAAACCTGGTAGACTTACATGAACTGATACAAAGTGAAATGAGCAGAACTGGGAGAATACTGTTCACAGTAACAGCAATACTGTGAAAGACACAGCTATTCTCAGCAATACAATCCAAGATAATTGCAAAGGACTCAATGACGAAAAATGCTATCCACCTCTAGAAAAAGAACTGATGGTGTATGAATGCAGAGTGGACCATGCTTTTTTAAACTTTCTTTTTTTTTTTGTTGAGGAAGGGGGAATCTTTTTTTTCACATGACTAATATGGAAATATATTTTGCATGACCGCACTAGTGTGATCTACATCAAATTGCCTGTCTTCTCAATGAGGGTAGAGAGAAAGGAAGGAGAGAATTTGGAACTCAAAATTTTTAAAAATTAATGTTAAAAATTGTTTTTACATTGGAAATTGGAAAAAATATTAAAAATGAAAAAATATGCCTGAGAGATACCTTGTTGGTGTTGGAGGAAGCTTTTAGAGAGATGTTTTACTCTACCTCAATTTAATTTTTTTAGTCAACAAAAAATTAGCACATTGAAATTTTGTATTTTCTCCACCTTTCAACACAATATGCTAGTAAAGATACAATGTATTATGGAATGCTATTTATGAAAGCCTGAATATTTCTTTTTAATAACTTCATCTAGGATGACCTTCAGGTATGTGCAGGTTGTTGTTGTTCAGTTGTGTCTGACTCTTCATGACCCCATTTGGAGTTTTCTTGGTAAAGATAACAGAGTAGTTGGCCATTTCTTTCTCCAGACCATTTTACAGATAAGGAAACTGAGGCAAATGGGATTAAATGACTTGCCCAGGGTTGTAAAGCTAGTTAAGTGTCTAAGGCTGGATTTGAACTCAGGAAGATGAGTCTTTCTGACTTCAGGTCTTATGCTCTATCCTTTGCTCCACCTAGCTGCCTTATATGTGCAGATTATTTAAAGAAAGTTTTTTTCTACAAGTAAGAATTCAGACATATACGTCAGTAATTATTGACACTTTATCAGTCTCTTTTTTGGTAACAACATCTGTGAGGTTTTTTCCCCCATTACTTTGGTGCTTCCTTCAGGTTACATGAGAATTCCTCAAAAGTCTCAAAATTTTGTCAGACAATATACCTTTGGTCTAGTTCACCTGCTTTTCCATCTTTGTTCTCTTTAGTGTCATTTTCACCTTCCCTATAAACAAATGGGAGACTGTGACATAAAGAGCCATCAAATACGGTGGCTCCCCTCACTGTCCTTAATGGTGAAAGAGTATGTTATAAAGCATTTGAAGATCTTTTATCTATTTTTTGTTCTCCTTCAATACTTTTGGGATTATTTGCTAAACTGAGGCCCTTCATCTATGTATCTTTAAGTTGGTTTTTCTGTTTTTCCCCTCCACTGCTTCTTGTTGTCTCATCAAATGATAATGTTTATAATTTTTCACTATCCTTCTCCATAAGATTATACAAATAAATTTATATTCTAAATTGGTGATGTTCTTGGTTACCATATTACTATACTGATTAAAATTTTCATTTTCCCATCATACATTTAAATTGTATACCTCATTAGGTGAAACAACATGCTTCACTTGGACAGGATAAAGTTCTCCTGGAGGAGGGAGAGTTGGCGATAAATACGGTGGTAAGACAGGAGTCTCTGTATCAGACTGAAGCAATTCCTAGAACATAAGATAAATTCAAGTGTTATTATGATCATTGATCCAAAGTTCAAGGAAAAATTATTCATTATGACATGACTCCAAATTAGCAAAAATCTTTCTGGAATTGGTAACTGTTATAGAAAGCCCTATCTCTGATTATTTTCTGGATATGGGTTGAACCTCCCACCAATTTACTTTTATCTAGACCGCAAGTCAGGGCAGTTAGGTGGCACAGTGGATAGAATGCTGAGCCCAGAGTCAGGAAGACTCATCTTTCTGAGTTCAAATCCAGCCTCAAACCCTTACTAGATGTTTGAACCTGGGCAAGTCATTTAACCCTGCTTGCCTCAGTTTCCTCGTCCATCAAATAAGCTGGAGAAGGAAAGGCAAACCACTTCAGGATCTTTGCCAAAAAAACCCCAAATGGGGTCACGAAGAGATAAGACTACTGAAAAACAACTGAATGACAAGAACAGACTACAAGCTCAGCCAGAGCTTCTCAGGCAGAGTAAATTTGATTTTTTGTGCTTGAATGAAAATATGAAAAAATGTGAGATAATATATATAGAATAGTAGATAATGAGGAAATAAGATACATTTTGAAAACTTTAAAGGCTATATAAATGATAGATGCTATTATTTTTGTTATTGTTATTTGTGGGCTTCTCTTTGGGCTCTTTTCTATGTTTATAATTAACTTCTCCTAACACAATGTAACCAGTATATAGGCAACGCTAGAAAAAGACTATCCAGTAGGGATATTTTCCCAGGATTAGATATTCTGACTATAACTCTTCCTACCATAGTGGGTATTCTGATAGTGTGTGTGTGTGGGGGGGATAATTTTCCAGGGTTGATAATCTGAGCCCTCAAACAGAAATATCTTCCAAAGAAACTATAACTCTTCCTACCACAGAGGGTCCTGATAGTGGGCAGCAAAGAAAATATTTTTTTGATCTGAGAAATAAAGATAAATTGCCTACTGAATTTTCATGATTATTATATAAAAAAAACCATTTAATTAATAAATATCCACTTCAAGAAAGTAATATGCCACACACTTAGTAAGAAATGGAAATGATTTGACTGTAAAACAAGATTTGGGTTTAAATTTACCTTAAAATTTATTTCCCAATTTTCTTCTTCATACTTTTCACTGTGATCCTTTGGCTTCTGAAATAACAATACAGTAATAATATTACTACATCTTTTTATCTGACATTGTTTTTATCCTAATAGTATACATATTTTAGTTAGCTTCCATTTAGTTATTTCAGGACATAGAGCAAAGCCATTGATTCCCATAAAGATTTTAAATAGTGCTCTGTGTATTTTACCCACAAGAAATCTTTACTGTTATAAAATTAAATCCATTTCAATGGTGACCCCAAATTCTTATGAGATAGTGGGTTTTACTTCATCTGGAAAAAGGACCTTGGTAATCTGCCATTTTCATTCCTATTTATAATATTCAATATAGATCAGAGATACAGATCTGCACTGCTAAGAGTTTCATCATTGGGAATTCCAAATGCCAATGAAATCACAGGCCTTCCTCTGCCCCCCCCCAAATGTTATGTAGATATGTAACATGAAAGTGTTAAATGTGAAAATAAAGGACAAGGATTTAAAGAAGCAGAGAGGAAACCTGTCCTATGATAGGTCAGAGAGTTTAAGAATGTCACAGAAGAAAAAGAGGACCACTGAACACTGGGGGTAAAATAAAGGTATGAAGAATTTCTTTCTGAGGGGCTGCTGCTGGTTCTCTAGGGCATGATACCTTTCACAGGATAGGTCAGGTGGGAAAGCACAAGGGTCAGACTGATGAACAAGGGAGCAGATAACTCCCTGCTGAGAAGAGAGGGCCCTATTTTTTGACCTGCTAAAAACTGAGAATTTTACTACTTTCCCAGAGTATGATATATCTGAAATGTGACAGACACTTTCAAAATCTGTAAAACTTCTAACTTCTGGTAATGCACTTGAGCAAAAACAACACTGCCAGAGGGAATACAGAAAACATTTATAAAGATTATGAAATCCTGGAGAAGAAACTGAAGACCTCAAGGGTACAGGTGGTACTTTTACCACTGCTCCCCATCAAAGTCAAGGGTTTCAGAAGAAAAAAACCATTCTGGTTATGAGAACAGTTAGTTAAGATGATAGGACCTGAGAATAGGATTTGGGTTCCTGGGTAAATGGTTTTAAATATAGGAATTATCTGCTCCAAGCCACAGATGGGATTGACTTAACAACACTTGTAAAATACATTTGCCCAAGGTCTTGCAATTCTAATTAAAGGGGGACAGTAGCATAATACTGGGAAGAAACACATGTGAAGAAATCAGAAGTGAGAGTGGGAAGATTAGACAGCATCTGGATAAAGACTGATGGATCACTGCTTTGTCGTAGGGCAGAAGCTTGCGTAGCTCAATAAAACTATGATCTATGTTGTACAGAGTTACTCAAGATGGACAGGTCATAATGGAGAGTTCTGACAAAAAGTGATCCCCTGGAGAAGGAAATGGCAAACTACTACCATCTGTCAAGAAAACCCCTCAGACAGTACTAAAATGATATAAGAGATGACATCAGAAGGTGAGCTCCTCAGGTTGGAATGCATCACTAGAGAAGGGCAGAGGAAAACTGTTCGTAGCTCCAGTACTAATGAAGTGGCTGGGCCAAAGGCAAAAGGAAGCTCAGCTATGGATACATGTAGTGATAAAAGGAAAGTCTAATGCTGTAAAGATAAGCTGGATATGGTCAAACAGGAGATGGAAAGATTAAATATCAATGTATTGGTTGTCACTGAACTTAAATGGATTGGAATGAGTGAGTTAAATTTGGATGATTACTACAAATACTTGTGTGGTTTGTCCTTCATTTTTGAAGAAGATCATGACATCAGGAAGATGATGCCATGACTTGCAAATGAACTGGATTTGAGTAAGTGAGGGGTGTGCAAAGTCATCAGACTCACTTTCTCCTCCGGAGTCATCTAGGACCAGTGGCCAGATACAGATCAGGACAGTAGTAGATGACCCAGGACACAGTGGGAGACCTTGGTCTTTTAAACTAGGTCTTTTCAAGAATCACTTTAGAAGAAATGAAGCAGCCCTCATAGTTACACTAAAAGGGCAAGGAATGCAATAGTGGGATATAAGCTCAAAAATGACTGAATATCTGTTTGAATCCAAGACAAACCATTCAATATCAGAGTAATACAAGTCTATGCTTCAAACATCAATCTCAAAGAGGCCAAAACTGATCAATTCTGTGAAGACCAACATCATCTTCTAGCAATAACACCAAAAAAAGATGTCACATTCATCATAGGGGATTGGAATGCTAAGGTAGGAAATCAAAAGATAAATGGAACAACAGGCAAGTTTGGCCTTTGAGTACAAAATGAAGCAGGGCAGAGACTAATGGAAATGTGTCAAAATAACTCATAGGTCAAAACAAACACTTTTTCAACTGCCCAAAAGGCAACCACACATGGACATCACCAGATGGTTAGTACAGAAATCAGATCAATTATATACTTTGCAGACAAAGGTGGAGGAGCTCTATATAGTCAGTTAAAACAAGACCTGGAGCTGATGAGATTAGATCAAGAGCTTCTTATTGCAAAATTCAGACTTAAATTGAAGAAAGTAGGGAAAATCATCAGATCATCTAGGTATGACCTAAATAACATCCCTTAAGAATATGCACTGGAGGTGATGAATAGATTTAAGGGCTGAGGTCTGGAAGATAGAATATGTGAAGAACTATGCACAGAGGTTCACAATTTTTTTGTACAGAATGCAAAAAAAACCTCAAAAAACATTCTAAAGGAAAAAAAGAGCAAAAAAGCAAAGTGGCTGCTTGATGAGGAAATACAGAAAGGTAAAGGAGAAAGAGAAAGATACACCCAACTGAATGAAGAATTCTAGAGAATAGCCAGGAGACATAAAAAAGTTCTCTTAAGTGAGCAATACAAAGCAATAGAAGAAAACAACAGAATGAGAAAGACAAGAGACCTCTTCTCCAGAAGAAAATCAGAGATATCAAGGAAAAGTTTCATGCAAAAATGAGCATGGTAAAAGACAAAAATGGCAGGGATTTAACAGAAGCAGAAGAGATTAAGAAGAGGTGGCAAGAATACACAAAAGAACTACCTAAGAAAGAGCTTAACATCACCAATAACAGGATGGTGTGCTTACTGATCTAGAGACAGACTTCCTGGAGAATGAAGTCAAGTGGGCCTCAGGAAGCACTGCTAACAATAAAGCCAGTAGAGAGGATGGAATTCCAGCAGAGCTATTTAAAACCCTAAAAGATGATGCTGTTAGAGTGTTGTACCCAATATGCCAGCAAATTTAGAAAATCCAATAGGGGCCACTGGATTGGAAAAGATCAGTTTACATTTCAGTCCTAAAGAAGGGCAATGCCAACGAATGTTCAAATTACTGAACAACTATGCTCATTTCACACTCTAGCAAGGTTATGCTTAAGATTCTGCAACCTAGGCTTCAGCAATATATGAACCAAGAATTACCAGAAGAGCAGGCTGGTTTTCAAAGAGGCAGAGGAACTACTGGATTGTGGAGAAAGCAAAGGAGTTCCAGAAAAACACCTACACTGCTTCACTGACTACACTGAAGCCTTTGACTAAGTGGATGACAACAAAATGTGGCAAGTTGTCAAAGAGATGGGAGTACCACATCATCTTACTTGTCACTTGAGGAACCCATATGCAGGCCAAGAAGCAACAGTTAGAACCCAATGTGGAAGAACTGATTGGTGTAAGATTGGAAAAAGGCTACGACAAGGCTGTATGTCGTCACCTTATTTATGTAACTTACATGCAGAGCACATTATATGAAATGCCAGGCTGGATGAATTGATGAATTGAAAGCTGGAATTCAGGTTGCCAGGGATAATAGCAACAATGTCAGATATGCAGACAGTACTACTCTGATGGCAGAAAGTGAAGAGAAATTAAGAGACCTCTTGATGAGGGTGAAAGAAGAATATAAAAGCTGGCTTAAAGCTTAACATTCAAAAATCTAAGGTCTTGGCAACTGGTCCCATCACTTGTTGGCAGACAGTTGGAGAAGAAATGGAAGCAGTGCCAGATTTTATATATTCTTTGGCTGAAAGATCACTGCAGATGGCAACTACAGCCACGAAATTAAAAAACAGTGCTCCTTGGAAGGAAAGCTATGGAAAATCTGTAAAGCATACTAAAAAGCAGAGACATCACATTGCTCACAAAGGTCGATATAGTCAAAGCTATGGTTTTTCCAGTAGCAACATATGGCTGTGAGAGCTGAACTGTAAGGAAAGCTGAGTGCTGCAGAATCAATGTTTTCGAACTGTGGTGCTGGAGAAAACTTCTGAGAGTCCCTTGGACAGCAAGGAGGTCAAATCAGCCAATACTTAAAGAAATTAATTCAGGCTATTCACTGGAAAGTCAAATACTGAAGCTGAAGCTTAAATACTTTGGCCACATAATGAGAAGAAGAGACTCACTGGAAAAGACCCTGATGGTGGTAAAGACAGAAGTAAAAAGGAAAAGGGGATGACACAGGATGAGATGGACAGACAGAATCACAGAAACAACTAACACAAAGTCTGAGAGACTTACAGAGATAGTGGAGGACAGAAGGGCCTGGTGTTCTATGGTCCACAGGGTCATGAAGAATGGGAAATGACTGAACAAGAGGGAGAAGAAAAAGGGGCCTAGAAGAGACCTCTAGGATGAACCCACAGTTAAGGAAGGTGATAGAGATGATACACAAGCAAAGAAAACTGACAAGTAGTAGTCTGACAGGGAACCAGTGAACCAGGAAAGTAGCAGCACTATAAACCCAGGGAGATAATCTCTAGGAAGAATACGTGGTCAACAGTGTCAAATGTATCAGAGGAGGTGAGAAGCATGAGGACTGAGAAAAAGCCATGAGATCTGCTAGCTACTTAAGATATATATTTTATTGTATGTGTGTGTGTATATATATATGTGTGTATATATATATATGTGTGTGTGTGTGTGTGTGTATATATATATATATATATATATATACACATATGTATACGTGTTAGAAAGAACAAATCTTGGCTCTGCCACCTACTAAAGGTGTAAGCTGAGTGACCCATGGCAAGTCACAACCCTCATGAGCCTCAGCTTCCTCACATATAAAATGAAGATAATGTGTTTTTTTTATGTCTATATATCTATTTCAAAGAGCTCTTTTGAGGAAAGTAGCTTTATAAACAAGTTTTATTATTAAGACAAAAAAGTTTAATGGAGAAAACCTCCATGTCCTGGAGAATCGATTGGTAGACTTGAGATCCTAGAGTTTTGGTTAAAAGGCTAAGAATTAACCCAAAAGTTTAAGTCCCAAGTTTTAGTCTCAATTCTGCCAGTAACTAGTTCCTGATTGAGCTGAACCTCCTTAACTTCTTATCAATGTGGGGGGAGGGGGGGAGGGAATTGTGTCAAATTATCTTTAGGTCCTTCCACCTCTGAAATATTATGGTTTTATCATTTCCCAAATATGCTTAGGTCTTACTTTTTTTCATTCCAGACTTGTATTTTTATCAGTGTGGTGAACAGGTGTCAAACTCATAACCTGCTGGCTATATGTGGCTAGCAAAAATCCCAAGTGCATCCAAACCAGATTAAAATATAACTCGCAGGGATCCGTTTCTACTTGAGTTTGACACCACTAGTATAGGAGAAATTACTTCCAGATCTATATGTTTATCCTTAGTCCCTCTCAGTCCCTCTTCTAATATGCAATGCCTCATCATCAACTGACTGCTGAATATTATGAACTTGCTGTTCCATACGAAATTCAAGTTAGACATAACCAAAACCCTTCCTAACCTAACGCTTCTGAATGTCTCTATTTATGTTAATGGTACCACTATCCTTTTTATCATTGAGGTTTGCAATTTTGGGAAGAGAAGTACTATAAACTGACAGAAAACTAGGTTGAGGAACAGTTTGGGAAGGACTTTGAAGGCCAGGACAGTTTTTATTTAATCTCAGTGGTAACAAGGAGTCACTGAAGTTTTCTTGGTAGAGGAGTGATACAATTAAACATAAGGTTTACAAATATCACAGTGGCAGCAGCGTGAAGGATCAATGGGAATGGAAAGACACTAGAAGCATGGCAGGCCAATGAGGAGACTATTGCAATAGTCAAGTATCAAAAAAATAAGGCCTGAACTAGGGTGGTTGGTGCATGAGTCAAAACAGATAAGAGATTTTGTAGAAGTAGAAATGGCAGATTTAATTGGCTATACAGGGAGGATATATCGAATATATGGAGAGTCAAGGAGGACATCAAAAGGCTATCATATCAGATATATGGAGAGTCAAGGAGGACATCAAAAGGCTAAGTAATTAAATATGTTCAGTTTTTCCCTAGGGGGAAGAAACTAGGAACATTGGTGGAAGTTGCAGAGAGGGAAACTTAGGTTTCAGATAAGGAAAAATTTACTAAAATTACAAGCTATTTTAAAGTGGAATGGACTGTCACCGAAGAAAGTAGGTTCTCCTCCACTGGAAGTATTTGAGCAAAGGCTGGATGACCATTTGTCAGGTCTATTTTATAGAGGGGATTCTTTTCCAAGTACAAATTCCAGGTATGAATTGACCATCACCTCAGAGATTCCTTCCAACTATGAAATTTTGTGAAGCATAGTCCACTTATTTAATTAATATTTATAATTCTGATTAAGCTTGGGATTTCCTAACTCTAGCTAAAAGAAAAGTAGCTTGCTTACCTCTTTCAGTATTTCCTCAGAACCTTCAAATGTACAATGTTTATGATGTGCCATAAAATAAGAAAGCGACATTCCATCAAAATAGAGATGAACAGATAATTTTCCCCATGGATTTTTGGGTAATTCCTATTACGTACAATTAAGGAGTACAGTTAAGTTTCAAAACACAATATTAATTTAACTTAAAAGCGAAACATTTATGTTCATTCCACAAAACTGCAATTATGCTCTTTGTAAAATAGCATGGCCATGTAATCCACAGCACTAAATCACAAGTTTTTCCAAAAACACTTTTTCTTTACTTAAAGGAGATAATCATAATGTGCTGACCTACATAATAATAGCTATCATTAACAGAATAATTTAAAGTTAGCAAAATGCTTTCTTCACAATAATGCCATAAAACAGGTGGTGAGGCATTATTATCCCCTTTCAAAGATGAAAATGAAGCAAAGAGAAATGACTTGCCCAGGATCATACCACTATTAAATGTCAGATTTCACCCCAGTTCCACTGCTCCCTACTATATCACACATCAATATCTAAAAACTACATGCTTGAATCTGGAACTCAAAACTTAAAAAGAAAAGAATGCTATAAATAAATAATAAATTAAGAAAAATAAAAACTATTTGCACACATTAACAGCAATTTAAAACAACTAAGATGCATTAGACCTCATTTATGTTGTGCCTATCTCTATTTTGCTATCACCTCAAGTCCCGAGCACCATAGTAAGTCTCTCCCCCCTTCCCCCATCAATTCTTCCTACAGAGCTAAGTTAGTTTTCTAATGCATTGTTTTGAATGCCATTCTCCTACTCAAAAATGATTCAATGATTCCCCAGGGTCTATAGGACTAAAATCCTTAGTCTAGCATTCATATCCTCACAAATTCTTTTCCTCAAATTCCTTTCATTATTTCCCCCCTACACTAATATTCCATTTTGGCCAAATTACATACTGTTTCCAGAACAAGCTACAGTGAAAATCTTATTCTTGTCTCAAGACCAGCTGAACTTCTTTACCTTTCCTTGACAGTCTTTTTTTTTTTCTGATGCCCAGAACCTTAAGTTTCCTCCTCTGAAGTCTTGTACCACTCATTCAGCACTTTCATACACTACCCTAGACTGTTATTTGTCTTTGTATGTATAACAATGTCTCTTTGGAGGAAGGATCCTCTTTGGAAAACTCTGCAGGTTGCCCCATAGACAGCAATACCCTCCCTCTTCCATGAATGTTTCTTTTTGTATTTGAACATGATTTTTAGAAGCACAGGATCATGATCAGAGGTTTAGAGATGGAAAACACGTTAGAAGTCAGCTAGTCCAACCCTCTTATTTTAAAGAGAACATTAACGCTCAGAAGGATCAAAAGACTTGCCCAAGATCATAATGGTATTAAATGGCTCAGCCAGATTTTCAACCCAAGTTCCAAATCCAGTGTTATTTCTGCTTCACCAATAGCTTTCTCTAACAGGGCCTAATATTGCTGCATACCATAAGTTAAAATGAAGTAAGTATTTAGCAACAGAAAACTTAAGCTTACAAACACTCTATGTGTCCTTTAAAATAAAAACTTTACATGCCCTAAAATTAAGCTCATTTAAAAGTTTAGATTGAAATTTCTCTTCTTTCATATGAGTATCAATTATGACGTCATGTGTATTTAATACACACACAAAAGAATGTTTATCACTTTAAAAATCTAGGTTTTGATATTAGTTATTCCCTCCAATTAACGCTTTTAAGGAGTTATGACATGTCAACATAAATAACTGCTTAAACATTAATACAAATTACCATGTTATGAATTTCCACCTCTCTCTTTGGTAATAGTTCTTGAAGGAGTTCTACTGCGTCTGGCTGCCAGGAATTTCCAATCTAATTGGGATAAAAATATTATTTTCCATTAACCACACACAATATGCAGAGCAAGAAGCCTTTTGATAAACAAAGACCAGAGAATCACAATGAAACTGCTTTCAGATAATGCTTCAAAGAATTTATAAGGGGGGCAGCTAGGTGGCACAGTGGACAGAGCACAGGCCCTAAAGTCAGGAGGACCTGAGTTCAAATCTGGCCTCAGACCAAATAGTTGACAAGTACTAGCTGTGTGTCCTTGGGCAAGTCACTTAACCCCGATTGCCTCACTGAAAACAAACAAACAAACAAAGAATTTATAAGGGCAAATATTATGCATTTTGGTGTACACCTGTGATTTCACTGGTGTAATAAATGCTGCAATTTGTCCACAATTTTTGGTTTTAGACAGTTGTCCACGGTCATAGAGCTAGTATGGACAGAGGTGGGATTTCCTGATTCCTAGTTTTTCCAGCATTTTATCCAATATAGTGTGATGCCTCTCTTCTATACTCATGTTGCAAAATTCTGTCTGTAGTAATTTAATGTGATTTGATTAAATCCAGCCTAATATCTCTATGAAATCAATCCTCCTAAAATTCAGTTGGTCAATTGTGTAACAGAAATAATAAGAAACATGTTCAAGCAAATACAATTCCATTATGCTGAAACACAGAAAGGAAAAACACACTGGGTGGCTTAAAATCTGAGTCCTCTCTTAAAACCAAAGAAATACTTCTCCCATGGATAATCAAAGTCTACATCTAACATTATTATCAGAAAGAACATATAAGAATCTTAGCTTCCCTTAAATTTAACTGCTCTCTCCAGTAGTATATACTTTTAACCTTCCAGGCATAAAAACACAGAACACTAAAAGCAAAACAAATCAAAATGTAAATATGACTACTTAGGTTGCTTCTAGCTGTGTAATTATATGCTAGTATGCTTTTTTGTAATACTGAGCATAATAAGAGCTCTGTAGGACAGTAAATCATGCATAACACTCCATCTTACACACTATCTGATCAATCATGACAGAAAAGAATATCGAGATAAGAATCTACATAGATAGTGCAACAAATTACTTACAGGCACGGTATTATACAACTGACATGGAATACAAAACTGGGGTCTATCGGCATATAATACAATTGGGTAAAGATGACACTGTGGGATCTTCTCAGTATACCCATGGTCTAAATATTGCACCTGCATAAAAAACAAATTCCATTACAGAATTGTTGGTAGAGGAGTAATTTTACATATCTTACTGTTTAATAAGAACTACAGCAATCATCCCTAAAAGATGAAATTAACTATGATTTCAAAAAACTTCTGGGACAAACTAGCCAAACTTTCTCACTGTCATAAAATTGCTATAAATCCATATATAAAACTGTGCATATTGATTGTTGTTTGGCTTTTTCTTACTTTATTGTAAATTTCTCAGGAGTGGGGACCATGGCTTCTTTATGGCATACATCACCACAAAGTGCTAAAATAGGCACTCTACGGGCAACAGAATGGTTACTGAAAGTACACTGTCAAATGCTTTAATTAGAGAGTGATATGCATAGTTTAATAAACATTAAATTGGAAGTCAGGAATCCTAGTTTCCAGTTTCATATCTGACATTGACTCACGTCCATTTTAACAGCCCTGTGACCCTAGATAAGTCACTTTAACCACTGTTTACTTCAGTTTCCCTATCCATAAAATGGGGATAATAACAGCACCTTCCTTCCAGGGTTGTTGTGAGGATTGAATGAGATAATAATTGTAAAGTGCTTTGCACAGTGCCTAGTACATTGTGGGTGTTTAATAAATGATAGTTCCCTACTCTTCCCCTTTTCACTTACAGAGAAGTTGCCAATCTGCAATGGTCATTTGGGAGTTCCTTATACCAATAGAATCATAGGCCTAGTCCCCAACTCTATCACTAACATAAAATGCATAGTAATTTAATAAAGATTTTATCCAGGCAGGACTTTAACTTATCTTTGCCCCATCTATAAAGATCTTTAAACACAGAAATAATGTGTGTGAAAATTATTCTACTTGAAGATTGGTATGTTTTTCTGTAAAGCTCTGACAAACTTAGAAAAGCACTTATGAGTCAGTTAAAAACATTAGACTTACTGGCTCAGACTTCAGATAAACTACTGCCCCAGAAAGGAATTAGTTCTAATGCTTATTTCATTTAACCCACCCAAAAGCTAAATCCTCCTAAGAAATTTTCTGTCTAGTATGTTATACTCTGGACAGAACTTTGCTCCAAATTATGGAAATATAGATTTGAATGACTCTAGGACTAATGTGAGGTTAAAATAGTGAAAAAAAGAAAAGTCTTTAAATATAAAGGGACCTGAACACAATTCAGATTGGCTCTCCCTTGGTTTATGTCCTCAGGAAATTATCTAGTTAACTAGTTAAAAAGAAAAATATTCTCAAAAGACAATTTAAATGTTTATAATAAAAAAATTAATTTATGCTTTAGAATGACTGAGTTTAACTCTCAATCTGTCACCAAAGAATAATCAGACTTACCCTGATAGTTCCACCAACAACTTCCATAACTTTACCTCGATACCACACAGTATCTGATCCCCTCACTGCACAAGCTTCTCCTTTTTTCCAGCAATATGGCTCCAAAAGACCAAGACACTTAAAGTTACTTTGAATTTCATCCATCAAATTTCTGAGCTCAAGTTCTAAGGAAATGCATAACACATAAACCTTAGGAAAATTATTTCACTCTTAATTTTTAATGTAAATAAAATCGTTACTGTATAATATGATTATATTAAAGTTCCATGAAATAATAACTAGACTTTAAAAAGTCAGTTCCTTATACCCTTAGAATATCACTCAACTTGTTTGGTCAACTTCTATTAAGTATTTTAAATAGTGGCCTTCGATATTTGTATATTAAATACTTAGGAATCTTATATTATCAGGTTATATTCAAGAGTGTTTTGAAAATTGAGAGTACGTATCATGATTACGTTAAGATCTATTGAATGCAAATGAATAAATACTAGATCAGTTCAATTTAGGCATGATGGATCAAGAGTAGCTGAATAAAATATAATATATACCACATATTATATGATGCTGAAATGTGGCACTATCTTGGGGACACAGGCATTTAACAAAATTTTGTCAGACTCAATCTGTTAACCACTAATTATCCCAAACAGTATCTTCATTAAAAATATACAGGAATAATAACGTAGTAAAAGGCAGCATGGTGTAGTTGACAGATGGTTTAGCTTTGGAATTAAGATGAAAGTATCAGTTGGGACCAAAAACTAACGTACACACACTATTATAATTTGTCCCCTACAGAAATCCTCCTCTGATGTCTCAGTGTGGCATAATTGTGACCCTATGTGCTCAGGTACGTCTGTAGAGTACAGACTCAGGCAGGTAATACCAAAATGGAAATCTTTTTAGTAAAGATCAGACGACCAGGGCCTAACCTGAGAGGACAAGCCTAAGCAAGTATATATATGTTCATCACTAGCAGTTTGGCCACTAGATAAAAAATTGTTTGGCCATGGTAAACATCAAAAATGAAAATACATAATGACCTCTTGACTTCTGTGGCCTGCTTCTGATTTCTTAGTGATTTTGACAGAATATTAGACATGAGAACATTCTAAGAATCAAATAAATTTTAGATAGAACAGAAACACCTATTTAACTGCTGGTACTCTAAACTATAAGATCTTAGTCCAATGATCAAGAAGCAGATATAATATTGAAGGAACTGAACCACATTAGTGCTGACATTCTTGTTATAAATGACAAAAAAGAAACAAAAATATCTATGGCTAAATATTAGCAAAATGATCTTCAAGGAGGACTAAATTAAAAAATCAGTGGAACTAGTTTTAGCTGGTGCCCAAAGGTGAAAGGAGGTGTTTCACAGGACTCTGTTATACTGCCCTTGCAGTGCTCACAATAAGCACAAGTGAAAATGAACACCATGAAGATATCGGCAGTCCCTAGGCCAATATTTTTACAAAGGAGGAATAAGCAGTTCAGCTACATGAAGAATTTTACAAGAATTTTACATGCTTGACCACTTTAAAGCAAAGGTAGGCACAGTAGAGGATGGCAAATACTGTAAAATATAGTTTGGGATAAAGAAATAAAAAAGGGCCAGAGATGTGCCTGTAAAACATGAATATTTTTTTCAAGAAGTTGGAAATGCTGGACACTACGTAGACCAAACAGAAAGACAAAAATTTTACTTTAACAAATGCCTACCAAAAACCCCTCCAAATACCTATACAAAATGGCTCTAAACAAATGCCTACCAAAGTGGGAGTCATTTTTTATTTAGTTACCTCTGTGCAGTCAGACCATTAACTAAAGCAATGGCTATAATCCACATGAATTAGAACATAAAAAGACATTCAATCAGCTAATAATAATAATAATACTAATAATAAACTGCTGACTCTGGAAAATGGATGAGAGAAAAGATTTATACAGATCGTAATTTTAGAAAAATCAAACTGATATAAAAAAGTGCTATCATGAGGACCTCAGAAACTACCTTAGCCAAGCAAACATTTGAGCCCCAAGCTAAGCATGGAAGATACTTAATTGGAATGCAAACTCATCTATAGAAGATGATAACAAAAGATTATAAACAACACTGTTTTAAAAAAAAATAAATAAAATTTAAAAAAAATAAAGTTTAAAAAAAAACAGTACTGTTTAAAAAAAAGAGGGAATGGAAAAGCATTTAAGTGCTTACTATGTGCAAGTACTTGCACACTGGCAAGGCTCCATGGATTTTGGAGAATATTGGCATGACAAATGTTCCCTACCAAGAGGATAGATGGTTCAAGGGTTAGGTCCAGCTGAGATAGGGATGAAGTGGGGAATCAGTTTGTAAATAAAAGTAGACGTCTTACACATATTGGGAACTGTGCAACTTGGCAGCAGATGGTGCTGCTGGTCTGCCTCCAATTCTGTGGCCATTGTGGCAGAGTAGAGGAAAAAACAGGTAGAGGGTGCTAAGAATTAGACAATTTAAAAAAACATATGTAAGCACTAACTTAGATACTGGTACTGCTAACAACCAGGCTGTCAACATACTCTGGCAGAACAGAATTTTATCACTCTTGACAACCTCACCACAACTCAAACACAGACAAAAGGAAGTTGCAGTTAAATGGAATCATAGCCTACCTTCCCTTTAAAGGGGCAAACTCTTTAAGGAGTTGGGAGAGTCATTTTCATTGTGTATCCATAAGTAATGAGAAACGATTTCTTGGGACATCTGGTCTTTTTGTACTGTAGTGTTCACGACTAGCATTTGCAAAAGGCTACCTTAGCAACTACAGATTCTGTGCCAATATTTGTTAAAGAGGATGAAGAGGTTCCTCTAAGAATTTCTTTTGTTGTTGTCATTTAGTCATTTTCAGTTGTGTCTAACTCTGTGAACCCATTTGGGATTCTCTTGGCAAAGATATCAGAGTGTTTACCATTTCCTTCTCCAGCTCATTTTATAGATGAGGAAACTGAGGCAAAGAGAGTTAAGTGACTTGCCCAGGGTCACACAGCTAGTGTCTGAGGCCAGATTTGAACTCAGAAAGATAAGTCTTCTGAACTCCAGGCCCAGCACACTATCTATTGTGCCACTGAGCTGCCCTAAGAACTTATTAAGAGCCAAATTAAATCAATTTATATTGATACTTGGTAACTTCAATGCAAAAGGTGGGCACAGCTGACAATCTTATAGAGAGTTGGAAAACATGGTTCAGGAAAGCAAAGAATAAATTGGAGAAGCCAAATACTTGTAGACTTTACCTAAGCTGCACACTTACATAACATTAATACCTTTTTTTTTTTTAAGAAAAGAATCAGAAGATACCGGCCGTGAACAAAAGCAAATAAAATAATATCACAAAAATTAAAATTATTACATTTTAACAGACACTAAATGACTTGTTCGTGATGAAAAAGTTATTCCTGGTTCAACAGTGTAGCCAGACTATAAGACCTGTTAGAGTTAAGATAAAAATTAATGCAAAACTAGAAGAATAAACATGAAATACATGGCATACAATGAAAATAATTTTAAACAACCTATTACAACTACTGCTAAAAATGACAAAGGGATGTAATCAAGAAAATCAACAATTATGACCAGTTCATATAGACATTTAACCAATGTAGATCAATTATCATAAAAATGAGACCAAAAGAATCCAAAATGTACCTTAGTGAGCAAGCATTTGGCTAACTTGCCAAGTGGGGATATATGATAGCCTCTGGCAACAGTGGTTCAGAACAAACTCACAAGTAAAATCTTACGTAAAAGATTGGTAGAAAATTATGAGCAGTATTGCCTCATAAATTAGCAGAAAGCAACAGTGAGAAAAAAAGGTTGAAAGAAAGCTTTGATATAAAGGACAGTGGAAAAAAATAATGAAATTTCATGGTTTCATGATGTTTTACACTTTTAGGGGAATAGCTAAGCTAAAATTAATTTTAAATGTATTTACCCATTTTCTTTTCAAATATGTTCATATATATACATACCAATAAATATGAAATTATATCTAACAAAAACAGCTGATTTTCATTTTAGTTCAAGTTCATTACAAAGATATCACAAAATCACCAAGAAATTGAGATATACAATTGACTTAATAATTATATGCATTTTCATAACACCAAGAAAAATATGCTATTAGAGATTATTCCCTTAAAAAAGTTTAAATTTAAAGTTTTTAAAAAGTATTCAGAATATGGTCAAAGTGGCAGATAATTAAGGCTACATAATATAAAGATAATACTATATGGCAAGAAAGGATTGTGTGAATAATAAAATGACAGATAAAGAAATAACACATTTTCAACAACCTGTATTTGAAATGTGCACTTTAATATCTTATTAGATCCAAGAGCAAACTATACTTAAAAACTAGTTAAAAACAATACATGGTTAAAACTAAGGTAATAAAACCATATCGATGACCTTTAAACTGACAGTTTAGTATTCTGTTTTGTCTTACCTGATGATTTTGGTACCACGTATATAGTTCCATCATCACCAATGCAGCTTACTACTGCCTCAAACACTTTCATGTTAGGAATAGCCGGTGGTTTGTAACATCCTCCAATTCTTGGGTCAAGCACTGTCTTCTTTATGGCAGGCCCCTTGTGTTCACTGATAATACCGTTAACTTTGTTGGGTTCAAAATGAGATGTGCTATACTTATCCACTCCCAGACTCTCTTGTTCCATAGGGATGTCAAGACTCTTCTCAGAGGCTGAATCAGTTTTATTAATTTTGTCAACTCTGCAGGGTACAAAAAATTGCTGATCTAACCAGCAGCAAAACAGCATAAACACAAAATAGTATATAAAGTATACACACAGATGCTTACGGATAAATTAAAAATTTTTAAGTGTTTTCATATGATAATGTGCCAAAAGAGCTGTAATTGGCATAGTTACTAATTCAGTCATAATAAAACTATTTAAATCATTAATGTAATATTGATTCAACTGCCAGCACAATTTCAGTTATTCTACTATGCGTTATTATTTTATATAATGACATTTTCTAAGAGAAACCTCAAATGTCTTTCAATTATGTTAAAAAAATTCCCAAATTTAAAGTTTTGGCCCAGAAAAGTGATTTCTTCATTTCCGTTATGTTCTATTTTGTTTGTTTTATGAAGCAATTGGGGTTAACTAACTTTCCCAGGGTCACACAGCTAGTAAGTGTCAAGTGTCTGAGCTTGGATTTGAATTGGAGTCCTTCTGACTCCAGAGCCAGTGCTCTATCCACTGCACCACCTAGGTGCCCCTGCATGGCCACTTTTTAAAACTAGATAAATCAATGAATTAGTAAGCAAGGCTTATGTATCTATTGTGTGCAGATAACCATACAGCTATACTGACGTACAAAAGTGAAAGCATTCATCCCTAAAAAGATTTTAGGGAGTTTGTATTCTACTCAGAGAGATAAACAGAATACATGAAATAACAAAACCGAATGCATTTATTTTTGTACTTCTGCCTAAAATGACTCCCCCACCTAAAATTTTAAAAAGAACGTTAAAAAAAAATTCCCACACAATTCCCTCCTTGACTTTTCCCTACCTTGAGAAAGGAACTGAAGTTCCACTGAAGTATTATGAACAGATTGAAACATTTGAACAGTAACTTCTGAATTTTTTCCCCTTTAACTCAGTTTAAAAATTTTTTAATTAACTTATTTATTTTTAGCTTTCAACATTCACTTCCATAAGCTTTTGAGTTTCGAATTTTCTCCGCCTCTCTCCTCTCCTCCCTCCCTAAGATGGCGTGCAATCTGATATAGGTTCCACATATACATTCTTATTAAACATATTTTCATATTAGTCATGGTGTAAAGAAGAATTAGAATGAATGGGAGGAACCATGAGAAAGAAGAAACAAAACAACTCAGTTTTTCTTTTTTTTTTCTTTTAACAATAACTCAGTTTTTCTAAGACTTTTTTTTTTTTTTACATCAAATTGGTTCTAGTCAGAAGAGGCAACGACCATTCAGCTGGAACAAGGAATAATTCAACATTTACTCTTTTACTTCTCTATGGAGATCCTCTCCCTTTTTTCCTTTCTGATTCCCTCCCATCTTGTCAGGGATGGAGGGTCACTGTAGCAGCAAATGAATTATGAGCAGTCAGTGGACAGACTTGGCTAGAGTATACGACTGAATGATAGGTCTTTCAAATATCTGTTTGAGGTTCTAGTGTACCTTTACCTGTGTAGAGGTACAGAAGAGCCAAGAACTAAGGCTATAGCACCTAATCACCTCTCTTCATTTCCAAGAAAGGTACTTAAGACTCAAACATGATACTTGAAAAGGAAATCATAAAAGCAAACATCACTTTGCTCCTTTTCCCTCTTTCTCCTTAACATACTGGGTATTCGTTGTAATCCTTTATTTAAAGCATTTTTCTATTTAAGCAGAGAGACACTTCTAATTTCTCTCTCTCCATGATTTAGAATGAAAATATTAGGGAAAAGAAGGAATGTTATGTGAATAAATGTGGTAGTGGAGATGATTCATTTCAACTCACCATAGAAACGACAAGTATCTACAGGGCAGAGAGCCCTGTGATAAGCTGAAATTACTGAGGGAGTTTTGAATCGAGGAAAACGATTCAGTTCACGAAGGAGTTTCTTCATGGCTAAAAGACTTGGCAATCTACAAATATGTTTTCTTCTAAAATATGAGGCATATGCAATCTAGCTTTTTACATAACATATATAACACATATACAAAATATTCTACATGCAAGTGTATACATAAGAAACTAAGGGATAAGAAAGGAAATCTTAGTAAATGTCTCCATCGTAACATTAAAACCCCCAAACTTCCATACCTTCTTTCCCTCAAAGCCAAACCCTTTTTAATCAGATAATTAGAAATATCAATACATTGTCCTTTTTCATCTCTGCATAAAATTTTCACAGGCAGTGGCCATGCTGTGTAGTTTTCCTAGAACAACATAAGATCAGAGAAATCATGGAGCTGAAGTTTTCTTATACAATGACTTTTTGTCACTTTTATTGCTGATCTTCATAACTTAACATACCAGAAAGGACTACCCTAAAAAAGCTACAAGATAGTAGGCAAAGCTTTATGTGACAAGGTTGCAAAGAGGACATGTTTTTCCAAACAAGAGCCATTTCTGGTGCCATCATAAAGTTGCTAATATCTGTTTTATATACCCCAGAGTAAGTAAAGTTTATAGAAAAAATACCAGTATCAGGAATCTCTTAAAAACAGGTTACTAAAACAATCATTAGCACAGTGTGTTTCTTTAGGTATTTGCCAGGAAAGCTTCAAAACAAAAGTAAAACCTACAAGAATATAAATTTACTATGCAGATATTACAAACCTAAAACTCAACCCAAAACAAAACCCTAAAAGGAGAGAAAAATTCCAAGAACAAAAACCACTAGGTGTTAAGTTTCTTTATCCTATGTTCACTGCAACCTGCAGGCTACAAACTAAAATTTCCTCAAGGTATTTAATCTCCTGAGAGGTAGCCTATTTAGTAGATAGAGGCTAGGCTTACAGTCAGGAAGACCTGAGTTTTAAGTTCAATGTCTGACATTACTGAGCTCTGAGATCATGGGGCAAATTACTTAATCTCTTAGTGTCTCAGTCAATTCTCTAAGACTAGAAATTACAGATAAATTTGTCAATTTTTATTAATTCAGGAGCTTGCCATGCTAATGAAATCATAGGTCTGGATAAAAAAGAAAAATTAAACCTCTAATATGCCTTTTTTTCTTCAAAAAGGCCAATAACTACAACTAAATACACACACCTGTCTAGTATGCTGGAAGTCACAGAAGGGACGTTAACTTTAAAAGAGGTAAATTCTTCTCCAAAGAACAGAAGACTAAGAGCTATTAGAAGAATCCTAACATCATTACTCCAGTAGATGGTACATTTTAAAATTTTTAAAAAATGGAGTTAACTGGTATTTGGAAGAATTCAAAGACGGCAGAATTTTTCTAAAAGTTGAGAAAGTTTTTGTACCCTGTGACAAGATAAATACATTACTATATATATTTTATCTTAATGTTTCATGGTTATTTTATAATGACCTGGATAATACTGTTTTGTTAGAAATAAAGCCTGACTTGTTAGATCAGATTTTCATGAGACTTAGGCAAAGTAATCCCAAATAGTACCTAATCTACATTCATCATTTAAGTTGCTAACCTAAGAATACTGCATTTTGGAAATTTTTGAAAATATAAAAAAGTAAAAGATGTACACATAACTGAAATAAGTTCCATTTCCTTCTCTATAATGTTGAATAGTAAATACTTTTTAACCAAAATATCTACAAATAATGTTCATATTTCTTTCAATCGTTATAGACCTGAATGATTATAGATGCTATAGCTCCAGTGAGGTAAAATGAAAGACAGTCACAAGCTGTTGCTGTCCATTTGTCACTTCCACCAGTTGGACTAAAAGTAAAAAAAAATATATATATAAGAAATGTGACCTTCAAGTAACAACAATGAATTTTTAATCAAGTGTACCTGAGTTTACCTATACTCTTGAGAATTATCCTTCAAAATTTATCACCTAGGGATTTATGTACCACTGCTGTCCAATACAGCTTTTCCGCTTTAAGAATCATTTTCACAATCAGTTTAAAAGACAAAGAAAACAGTCTCATTATTTGAATGAGACTTTTTCTCCTCAAAAGTGTTAGTAGAATATAAGCCCACTGAATGCAGAGTGTTTTGTTGTTGTGACTATTCCAGGATAATCTTGCAACTCATAAACTTTTGTTGAGCTGAATTTTTTGTTGAATTACTGCACAGTTTCATTATCGACCTTTTCCAGACTTACTTGTAAATTACTTATGGCAATTTCTAAAAATAAAATTCACCCTCAAATAACAAAAATTTATCACTCATAGTCAAATGGACTTAATAAATAGGCTTTTTGGTTCCCCTTACTTATAAGGCCACTGTATGTTCTTTTTATACTAACCTAAAAAGTACATTTGGACACAAACAATTTAACTTTCACACTGAATGGGCTGGTTGTTTCTAAAGCTAATTATCTGGCACATAACAGTTTGAAGCTTAAAATTTATCAAAAGCACCTAAAAAGTAGGTGCTTATTAATGTTTGCAGAATTAAATGTTGGAGAAATAGACCTTTGCTGTTGTTCCAGAGGGCAGAACTAAGTTTAAAATAAGAGGGATTTTCTTTTACCCTTTAATTAATACATTTGTGCTGATATTAGTGGAGCAGTATAATAATTCCATTCAAAGAATACTTATTAATTGCACTGTACTAGGTACTAGAGATACAACAACTACAACACAAAAGAAACAGTTCCTGTCCTCAAGGAGTTTACACATTCTAATGAGGGACATACAACATTTGCACAATTAAATACAATATAATTTGATGAAAGAGAGATCACTAAAAGGCAGGTCACATTCACATCAACCTCTCCAACCCCCAACTCAAACTCCAATGGCTCCCTGTTGCCTCCAGAAGCAAATATAAAATGCTCTATTTGGCATTCATAATTTAGTCCCCTCCTACTATTCTCGTCTTCTTATACCTTACCCCCTCAACATACACTCTGTGATCCAGTGACACTGGCCTCCTGGCTGTTCCACTAACAAGACCATTTCTCAGCATTTTCTCTGGCTGCCTCCCATGCCTGGGACACCCTCCCTCCTCAACTCTGTCTACTGTTCCTCCTTCCTTTTCCCTGCTTGGCTTCAAGTCCCAACAAAATACTATCTTCCAGAGAAAGCCTTTCCCAACTCATCTTAATTCCAATACGTTCCCTCTGTTAATTATTTCCTATCCTGTTTATACTCTGTTTGCATATATTAATTTGCATGTTGCCTCCCCCATTAGAGTGTGAGCTCCTTGAGGGCTGGACTGTCTTTTACTATTTTTCTATCACCTACACTTAACATAGTGCTTGGCATATCGTAGATGCTTAATAAATACTGAATGACTGATTTTAAAACTATTTTTCTTCTGTCTTCATCTTCTAAATTTGTTCTTAAAAGTTTCTTTAAAATTTTGAATTGTTTTAATTTACAATGATTAAATATTTACAAAATATGAATGATAAAAAGAATCTTGGCCAAGTTATAAACTCTCTGAGCCTCAGTTTTCTCATCTATAAAATGAGAGGGTCAGACTAGATGAGCTCAAAGGTTCCTTCCAACTATGAATTTATGCTTCTGATATACCAAAACAGAAAAATCAATTTTAAACTATTTAAAAATACAAATTAATTTTAAGAGTAATCTTTTAGAAACAGGCTACCTTATATCAACAAGAGAACATTCTAAAGCTAATCTTCTTGTTGTCTTCAGATTTTCTTCAAGTTTTCTTAGACAGTCAACATTTACTGTTACTTTAATACCAAAGTCATAAAGCATGACCTACAGAAAAAAGAATACACTTGATTTTAAAATGTAAAAAAAGCTTTTTGTAAAAGTTTTATAAAAGTTGGTTGATATATATAATGAAACAAAAAATTAAGGAAATGTTGCAAATATGCAGTAGTATAGGAAATTTAAATTACTCACTAGCAAGATAATATATTTGTAGGTGAGATCACAACTCACTAATGAACCATTTACCTCCACCAATGTTGCGGAAATTATCTTGATGATCTGACCCCTTCGCCACTGCTTTAGCTCAGTCCTCTGAACAGCACAATACATATTAATTTCCCATGTAACTGGTTCACATTTTGAGTTTTCATAAGCTGTTGCCATCTTTTCCTGTAAACTATATGCAAGGTTAACATATTTAGCCCTGGAAGTCCTTTTTTATAACAGACTCTAGCAGAGAATTCTTTTGCTACTTAGCTATGTTTCATTACTTCATAATTTTTTTTACAATTAAAGTGAGGAAAATATGACATTTCTTTATCCTATAGGTGGATTCTAGGTTTTAAATATAGCATTGTACCTATTAAGTAAGGTTTCTGTTGACAGCTGTTGCACATAAATCTTCTCAGGAGACACAACATTAGAGATCTGCACAGGAATTTCCTTGTTATGAAGTAAGTGTAAATCCTGATCCTCCAAAAATTTTGTAACCAAAGAATCTGAGGTATTTGTTTCAGCTGAAATTATTTCTTCAGGAGAAGGATCCCATACTTCATCATACTTTTGACAATTTATGGTATATCTAGAAAATAATATATATTTATAAAAATGTGTATGATATTTGCATTTCTCTAATTGTAGACTAAAATAGCCAAGTCAAAATATGAACATGCTTTAACTATTTAAAAAAGTAATTTTACAATACATCAAATCATAATTGAGCTGAGTTAACTGACGTTCTTCCCAAAATAGCCATACCTAACACCACAATAAGACGACAGAAAAAACTTTTAATCCAAACAAACTGAAAATCACAAGTTTTATTTCAAGAATTGCATCAGGAAGTTACTAAATATCTATTCATAAATTCTCCTCTCATCCCAAAAACAAGATTTAAGAGAGTAATTGAGCAGTTTACTTTGCTTGGTTAAATCTAACTTAAAAGATAAATTTTTTCTAGGCTAACAGTGGTAGCAATCCTTGCCTAATCAGAATTTGAAAGGGAACTCATTAGGACTCTGGGCAAGTCACTTAACTTCTCAATTTCCTTAGCTGTAAAATGAGGGCTTTGAACTAGATGCCCTCCAAGACCCCTTCCAGTTCTAAATATGTAATCCTATAAAATTATTACCATCATCACAAAAAGGAGTTGAAGAAACAATACATGAATCCATCTCCTCTGTCCTCTACCTACAAATCCAATCCTGCAGGATGTTTGGGTTAATTTTCTTATAACAAATTAAGGCACAGTAGAGACAAATAGAATTTTTACATTTTTATCTTTGTTCCTTTGTGGTGAGAAGCTCTGCCAAACAAATATCTTCTGTGCCCCAAAGCCAAGAGGAGGAGCTAATAATATAAATGATAAAACTGAGACAAAAACTTTTTCAACAAGTTACAGAGCTGGGTTGAAACCAATAATATGAAAATTAATATGAGTAAGTAAATGCTAAGCCTTGAATTTAGGTTAAAAGTTTAGGTTGAGGAAAACTTTCTTGACAACTGTTTATATTTAAGATTCAAATATTATTCAGCACCAACTTTATATGAGCCAAAGATGTGATGTGGATCCCCCCCAAAAAGAAGCAAACACAATCTTAAGCTGAATTAATAGAAGTACAGGAATCATGGGATACAATAGTTCTACTATCATCTACTACTCAACTGACTGGTAAGGTCATTAATATTCTGATGAGGTCAATTTAACATCATCTTTGTGAATATAAAGGGCAGCATTTGAAAGACTAGTTTTCTTCCTATACACCCTTCAAAACTAAGTGGTATGTAAAATATTCATATAAGCATTTTTTGTCTAGTAGCAAAAAGACAAACAGAAAAACGAGAGTACTCACACGAAAGGGTAGATAAAATGGGGCATATAAATGTGGTAGAATATTACTGGTTTAGTAATTAAAAAATGAACATGAGGGAGGGGTGGAGCCAAGATGGTGGAGTGAAAGCAGTGACTTGCTTGAGCTCTCCCCCAAACTCCTCCAAATACCTATAAAAATTGGCTCTGAACAAATTTGAAAGCAGCAGAACCCACAAAAAGACCTAGTGAAACAAATTTCCAGCCCAAGACAACCCGGACGGTTGATCAGAAAGGTATATCAAGCCGGGCGGGGAGAAGAACGCAGTTTGGCATGAGTATACAGGCCACAGCGACCCTGGAGCAGGCCTCAGAGGGCTGAATCACAGGCAGCTGTGGCAGTTTCCAGATTTCTCAACCCATGAACACCAAAGACAACTTAGAAGGTCAGTGGGAAAAGTCTGTGACTGGCGGTGAGAGAAAAGCTAGGTCTCAGCCGCAAGTCCCAAGCACAGTGGCTGCCTCCTGAGCTTCTGTCACACAGACTGAGGGCAAATCCAGTGGTTGATCAGAGGGGTATTGCAGGGATCTCTTCGCTAGTGCTGAGGCAGGAATCTATTGCTTTGCCTGTGCTTGAATCTGGGTCACAGTTCTGAGGGGCAGTCCTGGGGCTAGGAGGAACACTGGTGTGGTGGAGCTTGTTGTGGCAGTGGAGAGGAAACACCTTGCCCCTTTATCATACCACCTTAGAAGAAGTGAAAATTTACAGGTCCCTAGAAGTATCTCTGAAAACAGCTGTACAAACCCCCAAAGCTTGGGACAGTACATTCTCCACATTGGAAGCAGACTCTTACCTTAACAAAGAGTTTAAAACTCAAGTAATTGGCCAGGATCATGAGTAAGCAGCACAAAAAAAGAGTCAGACTGTATTATCTTACTTTGGGTGACAAAGAAGATCAAAACATACAACCAGAAGAAGACAACGAAGACAAAGCTCCTACATCCAAAGCCTCTAAGAAAAATATCAATCAGTCCCAGCCCTTGGAAGAGCTTAAAAGGGATTTTGAGAAGCAAGTAAGAGAAGTAGAGGAAAAACTGGGAAGAGAAATGAGAGTGATGCAAGAAAATCATGAAAAACAAGTCAACAGCTTGCTAAAGGAGACTCAAAAAAATACTGAAGAAAATAACACCTTAAAAAATAGCCTAACCCAAATGGCAAAAGAGGTCCAAAAAGTCAATGAGGAGAAGAATGCCCTAAAAAGCAAAATTGGCCAAATGGAAAAGGAAGTCCAAAAGATTACTGAAGAAAATACTTCCTTAAAAATTAGAATAGAGCAATTGGAAGCTAGTGACTTTATGAGAAATCAAGACACTGTAAAACAAATCCAAAAGAATGAAAAATTAGAAAACAATGTGAAATATCTCATTGGAAGAACAACTGACCTGCAAAACAGATCCGAAGAGAGAATTTAAAAATTATTGGACATCTGAAAGCCATGATGAAAAAAAGAGCCTAAACATCATCTTTCAAGAAATGATCAAGGAAAACTGCCCTGATATTTCAGAACCAGAGGGCAAAATAGAAATTGAAAGAATCCACCGATCTCCTCCTGAAAGAGATCCCCAAAGGAAAACTCCTAGGAATATTGTAGACAAATTCCAGAGTTCCCAGGTCAAGGAGAAAATATTACAAGCAGCCAGAAAGAAATAATTCAAGTATTGTGGAAACACAACCAGGATAACACAAGATTTAGCAGTTTCTACATTAAGGGACCACAGGGCATGGAATATAATATCCCGAAGGGCAAAGGAGATAGGATTACAACCAAGAATCACCTACCCAGCAAAACTGATTATAATCCTTCAGGGAAAAAAAATGGTCATTCAGTGAAATAGAGGACTTTCAAGCATTCTTGATGAAAAGGCCAGAGCTGAATAGAAAATGTGATTTTCAAATACAACATCCAAGTGGAACATGAAGAGGTAAACAGGAAAGAGAAAATCATAAGAGACTTATTAAGGTTGAACTGTTCACATTCCTGCATGGAAAGATGATACTTGTAACTCATGAGACTTTTGTCACTATTAGGGTAGTTGGAGGGGAAAAAATTATATGTACGTATATATAGATATAGATATATAGATAGAAGGCACAGGGTGAGTTAAAAATGAAGGGGTCATATCTGGAGAATAAAATTAAGGGGTGAGAGAGGAATATACTAGGGGAAGGAGAAAGGGAGAGGTAGAATGGGGTAAATTATCCCACAAAAAAAACAAACAGAAAAGAAAAGGCTCTTACAGTGGAGGGGAAATGGGGGAAGGTGAGAGGGAATGAGTGAATCTTATTCTCATAGGATTTGACTTAAGGAGGAAATAATATATATACTCAATTGGGTATGGAAATCTGTCTTACCCTACAGGAAAATAGGGGTAGAAGGGGACAAGAGAGTAGGGGGATTGATAGAGAGGAGGGTAGATTGGGAAAGGGGGTAATCAGAAGCGAATACTTCTGAGGAGGGACAGGGTCAAAAGAAAGAACAGAATAAATGGGGAGCAGGGTAGGATTAAGGGAAATAGAGTCAGTTTTTCACAGCATGTCTACTATGGAAGTGTTTTGCATAACTGCACATATATAACCTATATTTAGTTGCTTTCCTTTTCAATGAGGGTGGGTGGGGAGGGAGGAAAGGGGAAAATTCAGACCCAAAGGTTTAAAAACACATGTTTAAAAAAAATGTTTTCACATGAGACTAGGAAATAAGAAATACAAGAAATGGGGTACAGAAATCTATCCTGCCCTACAGGAAAATAGAAGGAAGGGGATAAGAGAAGGGGGGGCAAAAATAGAAGGGAAGGCAGACTAGGGAAAGGGGTATTCAGAATGCATGCCATCTTGGGGTGGGGGGAAGGTCGAGATGGGGTGAAAATTTGGAACTCAAAATCTTGCGGAAGTAAATGTTGAAAACTAAAAATAAAGAAATTTATTTAAAAAAAAAGTTGCCAAGGTAAAAAAAAAAAAATTTTTTTGAGTTTCAAATTCTCTCTCTCCCTCTTTCCTTCCCTTCCTCCCTCCCCTCCCTGAGATGGCAAGCAATCAGATATAGGGTATTCATATGCAATCATGTAAAATATTTCCATATTTGTTATTTTTTACAAAAAGACTTAAATAAAAGAAAAAATGAAAGAAAAAATGAACATGAGGAATTTGTTCAAAATGGTAAAATTTGTATTAACTGATATAGAATGATGGGAAGTTAAATCAAGATAACACTATAAATAATTACTACAATAATGTCAATGAAACATTAAGACAATTAGAAATCAGATTAAATGTAATTTGAATGATATAATAAAATGCATTTAATGTAAACGATAACACATGTAATGTAAATGAAAAAATATTTAATGTTAATGACATTAACAATGATGAAACATATATCCTTCCTTTTGGTGGAAATAGCTATGGAGTCAGAGGACCTGAGTTCCAATGCTAGACTTCAGTTTTCTAGCATTTCTTAAACTGTGAACCCCAGATAGGGTTGTGACCCACAGTTTAAGAAGCACTGATCTATACACTGGAAGTAGAGTACAACAGAGAACCTCTAAGGTCCCTTCCAACTCTAGCTCTGTGATCCTAAAGATGACCGACTATGGGTATGGGTGTGAAATACCGTACCTTCTGTTAGCTCTGCTCACTGTTTCAGCTAGCTCTGCTTAGCTTTGTTATAAAGACGAGTTCAATAAGAGGGGAAGGTGTTTGAGAAGTGAGTACAGTGTGAAACATAAAAGCTATCAATGAAACATTTAAAATAATCAGATAGTATGTTTCTTCAGGTTTACATATTCCCATCCTTCTTCTTGGACTACTTAGCTTGACAGTAATCACAGACCATAAACTCAGTGTAAGTCAACAGTACAACAGCAGCCAAAAGGGAAGTAACGGGAGTAGTCCCACGATCAGATCACATTTAGACCACTGTGTTTACTCTATGGCATCACATTTAAGGAAGGAAACTGAGAAACTTTAGCACATCTGGAGTACTGAAAAGATTTTATAAGGAAATATTTTCCAACAATTTTAACCATACAATTTGTTATTGTTCAGTCTTGTCTGACACTCTGTGACTCCACTTGGGATTTTCTTGGCAAAATTACTGTAGTGGTTTGCAAATAATTTCCCTCTCTAGCTCATTTTTTACAGATGAGGAACTGAGGCAAACAGGGTTAAGTCACTTGCTTAGGGTCACACAGCTAGTAAGTGTCTGAAGTCACATTTGAACTCAGGAATATGAGTCTTCCTGACTTCAGGCCTAGCACCCTTTTCACTGTGCCACCTGTCAACTATACAACAACCTAGCAGGGGTGGGGAACCTGCATCCTTGAGGCCACATGTGGCCCTCCAGGTCTTCAAGTGCAGCCCTTTGACCGAATCCAAACTTCACAGAAATTATACTTGAGGACCTATAGGGCCACATGTGACCTCAAGGTCGCAGGTTCCCCACCTGGGAGCCAGAAGATCCCAGCTGGGCTCAGTTCCTCTTTTTGCCATTTATTGAGTAATCTTGGACAAGTCACTTGACTTTGGAGGCAGCTAGTGATGCAGGGGGTCTAAAGTTGGTCCTGGAGTGAGGAAGACCCAAGTTTAAATGTAGCCTCAGACACTTCCTAGCTGTGTGACCCTGGGCAAGTCACTTAACTCTGTCTGCCTGTTTCCTTATCTATAAAATGAACAGAAAAAGAACACCTACCTCCCAAGGTTGCTGTGAGGATTGAATGAGATATTTGTAAAGTATTTTGCTAACCTTAAAGTGTTACATAAATGCTTGTTGCTGTTGACTTTTCTAGGCCTCAAGTTATCTCATCTATTAAAAAAAGAGGTTGGACTATAAGGGTGAAGCAATAGTATACCTTCCAGTTACACAATCAATATGATCTTATTTCCTCCAATTCTTATTTAGTACCCACCCTAATGCAAGACTTATTTTTTTCTGGTATACCATAATGAAGCACTGAGAAGATGCTTTTTTAATATTAAAATTCAGATTTAGTTGCGGTACTGTTAATAATTCTTTTTTATCTTTTAATATTCTTTTTATAGCATTTGTGCTTCACATGTTCAAAACAAAGGGCACAACCTTCAAGGCTTTAAGAAAAAAGCAAAAAATAATTTGTATGATATGCTTTTTTAAAGGTGAATAATGGTTCAAATAATGGTTTATTTACCTTATTTTTTCTGTGATCAAAACCATGCTGTTGCTAGATTCAATAGCCTGACACAATAGAAGATTACTTAAACATTATTGCTCATTTTCATCCAAAATAGTGACGATTTGAAAACACTGCCTTAGGGTTTTTTAAGGTGTACCAACCCTAACAAAGTATTTTTAAAGATGGCTGGAAGTTTAAAAAAAAAGTGACAGAATGATCAAGAACTTATATTAAATACTCACAATTAAGAGCAGTAAGGTCTAATGGAGAGAAAGCTAACCCTGGGATCAGGATGACCTGAGATCAAGTCCTACCTCTGACACATACTGTGATACGTGATCTACGGAAGTTACTTAGGTTTTCTTTTCAGAGAGCTCCCTATGTAGATGAAGTCATAGATGTGGACCAAAAAAAAAAAAAAATCCCAAAGACAGTATATGCTTATTAGCAATTAATATTAAAAAATATACTTACCCTAACTCATAAGACGCTAAACCTTCTTTAACTAGCTGGCTATTAACACTGTTTGGTATCATTCCAGGAGCACTGATAGAATCAAATAGCTCGACAGATAGTACATTGTCTTCCAAAATTTCTGTAAAACCAAGAATATATTGCAAAAATTTTTTTTATTTGAATAAACTATGTAGTTAATTTATTTTCATTTAGAATGTATATTTTAAAGAACCTTACATATTTATAAACACTACTGAGTAAAAGCATGATCTCCATAAGGTTATTAAAGTGAATATTGCTAGGGAGAGAGAAGTTGTACAAATGTTTCAATGGCACTCATAAAAATAAATATTTTGTACTCTTTACTCCATATACATTTTTGTGTTATTTTCCGCTACAAATTGCTAGGGGACTTTTTAAAAATTAAAAAACTGGTTCGGATTCTTATAATCTAGCGACTGCTCAAATTCTTAAAATCTAGCCAATAGCTCACTAATTTTCAGACTTCTTAAGAGTCTGACCAATACGACGGATGTTCTAATAAACCTTGTCTTTGGCTGGAAAAAAAAATTAGAAAACTATAAGAAGAATGGACATTTACATAGGATTGACAATTTAAAGACCAGGTTTTAATTCAGTTTCTGACAAATTAAGGTAAACTAATTCTTAAATCAGTATTATATTTGTGTATTTCACAACTTGTATCGACATATCATACACCACAAAGTCCAATATATATAACCTTCAGTTAAGGAGAAGCCTCAATTTCCTGGCTTTCTTCCCCATTCCATAATGACCTTTTATAAGAAAGAGTCAAATTACAAAGGTTGTTCTTTCAAGTACAACAGTAACAACAGATGACAAAAATTCCAAAGAATACCCTAGAGTTTAATATATTATTTATTCCAATCTCCTATGCCTTTCATGCCTATTTTCAATAACAACAACCTACTGGGCACTATGTTATCCTGATCAAGGTTTATGTTCAATAACTGTAACAACCACTACTGTCATCACTGTAAGGCAAAACAGATCCTAATACATTTCAGAAAGATAGTCAATAAAGCCCGAAATCAAAAAAATTTTTGACTTAGTACCTAGTGAAAAAGTAAACGAAACTAACCAAAATATTAATAATTCAAGTATTACAGTATATAAAGGTGTTACTGTAATGCATATCTAGTTTAATTTCTGCTAGGAATAAAGGAGACAATACTATTTTTCACTTGTACATCTGGTATAATCCATTGTGGCAATTAATACCGCAAAGCATTACGAACAACCAAGTTATTTCCAAGTATCCTTGTAGTGGGGTTTATAGTAATAGTACTTTACTGATTTGCTTGAAAAGAAATAATTTCTTCTAATAATCATCTATATGTAATTCTCTCTCTTCCTCCTTCTATTATTTGTTTTTACTTCCTTCTGTTCCTCTAATCCAGTGATGTCAAACTCAATAGAAACAGGGGTCACTAATCCACACACAAGGATCTCTGTGGGATGCATACTGACTTAATTTTAAAATGTAGTATTATCTATGTTTTATTATATTTTTATTTACTTTGTTACATATTCCCCAATTACATTTTAATCTGGTTTGGGTGGCACTTAGGAAGTGATGGAGGCTACATGTTTGACAATTCTGTTCTAAACCATGTGCCTCCAACTTCCTGTCTCCAAATTTCTCCTTCATGCTTTTGGCTTGCATTAAAGTTCATACTTATCAACTCTGCCCCAAATCAATGCTTAGCTCCCTAGTGGTGGTCGTTAAGGAGCAAGAAGCTCAATTTATTGTCTTTCTCAGAGGAGTGTCAAGGTCAAATATTAAGACTGAAGACTAGCTAGTATCATGGGATCTATACAAAGATGAAATACAATTCTGTTGTAGTCCAATGGAAGAGTTTTGATGCAGAGAAGTAGAATTTTAGAGTGATAATGATCAAACTTAATAATCTAATTTTGTAGTTTTTTCCATGACAGGGTTAACATCTTCCAACATACAGAGAGAATTCTTGTCTTTTTGTATTTTAAAACCTAAGTGAAATGTTTTATCATACAAAGTATTCTAATTATAAAGAAATGCTTACATTATTTCTAGTCTCTCTCTCTCTCACACACACACACACACACACACACA